GAGCGCCCGGTCTCAAGGCTCAAGAAAGAAGGCTGAAAAATGACCGGCACACGGACGGAGCGGAGGAATACATACATACGTATCCTCGGCCCCGTCGTCAATATGTCTAGCGACGTAGGTGGAGCGTGTACCGTACTAGGCGGTCGACCGAATTAGATTCTGCTCACGTCTCACTGCAATTGCGATCTGTCCTGTTGGTGTTGTTAGTGTTGCGATGAAAAGAAAAAAGGGTACTTTAGAAGTATCGTCACTTAAGGCTGACAACAGGCAGTCAGGCAGACAGGCGATGCGGTGAGAGGAATTGAGTTGAGCTCATGATCATTCGCCATCGTGGGAAGTGATGTTTAAGGAGGTTACTAAAACCTCACGATAGTTGACGTGGTGGTGCGCGTGTGTCATGCGATGTCACTCGACTTAGACCCCCATATCTAGTCGCGATAGAAACTCTTAACGCAAATTACTAAACCTCCAATTTGCCAACCAAGCCCCCTTGCTGTATATCGTCCATTGATATTTTAAAACCAGTAGACATCTCAAAACATCTCACCACCTTTCAGTCCTCGTGGCAAGGCGGGACGAGTGACATCTCATGTTCGAAACACAGCGTAACTGAATCCTGTAGGCTCCCAGCTCTTGCAAGCATCGATTCATCGGAAACAGAGATCGACCAAACCCGCTTTCTTTCTCTCAGCCCACTTCTACCAGCAACCAGTGTACACTTCTAATCATTGCATTAGCACATATTACGCGAGTAAATAGGGCGAACCAGCGATATCCCACAAACTGTCAATGATATCCACGTTTTCCGCTACGCTGGATAAACTTTTCGCAATCACCCCTCCCTTATTCAATCAGATCTACAGTGCCTATGGCGAATCCCGGGGTCACGTCTGTTTATTTTCATTTCCTTTCCGCTCATTCGCACGTCCCATTCTGCAGGCAGAATTCCGGGGGGTTTTGCCTCGCGTCATGTCACGGATGGCAATACGTACGCGCAGTACTAGCAGAGTACGTGCGGCTGCATAAGCGTGTGTCTGTCTTCTCGCCGCATGACTTATATATCCCGTCCAGTTGTGTTAGACACACTCAAAGATTCAGAGCACCGGACTGTGAGCTAGGGTCGGTAGTCTCTGCTTGCTGTCAGTCAAAGCTACTCACTAGATGAAACGTTAGGACCCTTTTTTGAGTGGGGGCCGAGTGAAGGTGAAAAGCTTGGTTTTGTCTCGGGGCCTCGGGGGAAGGTGTAGTTTGAGCTTTATGTTTACATAGGTGGCTTTAGAGGTGGGGGAAGCTCTAGATCTCTTATTCTCACGATGGTGGTCAACTGAGTCTTTGGTGTTCTGAGGCTGCGCAGAGATTCGCACGGACAGCACATTAACGATAGATACCATTCAAAGCGATCGATAAAGCCCGGATTAATTAACGGAAAAACTGTCTAATTCTAATTGGGAGATAAGAGATAAGAGATAAGGACCCCGAATCAACACTTACTAAGCCAGGGAGACATTGGTTTGGCCAATTGAAGGCAGCCAAATTCGCCGCTTGACCTTTGCGCTTTGGTTGGTCCAGAGGTTGATGCCGAGGGGATGTGCCAGTTAACTTGTTAACCTAGGGCAAGTGAAATTCACACTCCCACAGATATTAACACATATTGACGAACTGTCGCCCTCCTGACTGAGAGAGAAATGCGGTTTTTTTCTTCTTTCCAATGGGTTAGGGTTACGTGCCTGTTAGATCGAGCCTACACGGGAGACGTACCCGCCGCCATGGGGAAACGGTCCACCCGTAGAAGGCTTGATCAAAACGATGAGAGATCTATGGCTAGGCTACTTACGGATGACGGGTCGTTGCCAACGAACAACATATCCGTTTCAACAAGCCAATTACTAGAGACTTTGGAGATAGTAATTCATTGGTGAAGTTCTGATACAGTTCCATGCGCAGGCCACTCCAATAGGATGAGAAACCAGATTTTGAAGACGCTTTTCCCCTTCGAGCGCTCTCCCGGGGGTTGTTGAAAATCGAGTGACACGCGGTGAGTAGGATTAACCGGAGAAACAATAAGTCTCATAAGCTTTGTTCAAACATCTACGTTGGGGAGATCATACCCAATAACCTCAGGGCGGTCCAAAAATTAAGACAGTAAGGAATGTGCGTAATGATGGGCACGAGACAAGACGAGACCATTTTGCACCAAGTCTCGTCTTGTCTTGTCTCGTCCCATCATAGTCTTGGGAGTCTCGAGGCGAATCTCGAGACTGATATAAGCTAAACTCAATCCGAATTTGAGGTAAGAAGTTGTACCCAAATCTGTTAATGTTCACTTTTGAACAGGGACTAGAAATTCTTGGCAATAAATTGTGGATAGAACCCGGGCCCAAAATGCACACCCGATTTTCAGAAGCCTACATAAGAGGAAATCTGAGAATGAGGAAGCCTAAATATTAGGAAGAGCCCTTACTTTGGATCATTTAACATCACTCGGAGGTCTCGAGACTTATCTCGAGATTTCGAGAAAAACTCTCGAGATATCTCGTCTTGTCCCAGGGTCGTCTCGTCAGGTCTTGAGACAAAGTCTCTGGACTGTGAGTCTCGTGCCCATCATATTTACATGTGCGTTTTTTGATGCTAAATGGTATAAAGTCGTAGTATTATCTCAAGTCTCTATCAAAGAAGGTGATAGCGATACCGTAGCTTTACAGCCTACTTCTTTACGTCGCAGTCATCGAATCCAGTACTTCCATATTACTATAGCTATATCGATAATATTATGGTTCATCCTCCCCAAGGGGCCTCACCCATCTTGCGCGAGCTAGGTTTTGGAAGTTTTCCCTAGTTACAATGCCTGAATAGAGCGCGGATAACTCCAAGTACGCTGCCATAATCTTCGGGTTACATGCGAGTAGGACGGATTCTTACTACTATTACTATTTTCACCCACTATGTAGGGTTAGGGTTTCGGTGGCACTTCGAGTGAAGGATCATGACCGATAACCCAAAGCAGAGTCCAGTTTCGACGATTCCTTGGGTGCTGTGGATCCGCGGTTGTTCTAATGAATGGAAAGAAACAAGTCAAGAAAGGGGGGGAATCATAAAAAAAACATCCAGTTAATGTGCCCCTGAATTTAGACAACGTTGTATGTACCCAACATATCAAACCACATTTTATCAATGTTCACGAGGCATACGTTTCCATGCTCGCCATATGCACTACGATAACTGGCCTCCATGCCTACTGATATACAAGCTAGTCTACATTTACACAGTGGAATGCAAGTATTTAAGTAGAAGTATAGTTTTGTGATATTTCGTAGAATGTCATGTCATGTACTCATCCAACGATCATTGAACAATTCAAGTTGCTGAGGTATAGAATAAACATCTTAAGCCCACGATACTTCTAGAAAACAACCCAGATATAATAGGAAAGGCAGATTCCAAAGATTTCAATTAGGGTTAGTTATGTTTGTTTCGAACACTGTTAGTATGGGCAAAACAGGTTTAGAGGATATATTGAATTCCACTCGACCACGGTGATCATGATTAAGTCAGTATGATTACAATTTATCGGGCGGAGAAACTTTAAAGAATATCAAATCTTTTGTGATAATGGGAGCCAAACCCTACGGAAAGATCTAAAATGACACTTTTTGATATACTTGGTCAATTGATGCACGATCACCTACAATACAAACTGACACACTTCGCTCTCACAATTCAAAAGGTTAGGCAACAATGATAGAATAGGTCGAAGACAGAATGTTGATGACCTCTTGACGTAGGAATTCGGAGTTATTCTCATGACAGTTTTATGATTGAATTCCGGTGATCCAGTGCTCACAAATATTGTAAACGACGTACGCAGTACTCAGCTGCTGTCGACTTAAAGTCAAAACTAGCATCACCCTTACCTTCAGATCCGTAAATCTGGGAGGGGGCTTGTCACTAGTGACCCAATATTTCTGTACCATATGCTTAAGCACTTCTGTTACTTATAAACTAAAAAACTACCCTTTACAAAACCCAGGCGCTGCAGTGTGCCATTACCTGGTGGAGTTCTGAGAGTCATTGATTTCATTGTGCCTGTGAAAAGAGTTCGTGGTGTGAAATTCAGATTTCCTGTGTCACTTTAGATCCTGGAAGTGGGAGTGAATAATACCGAAGGTCAAAAAGTCCGTGCCGTACGGAAGGCTGATCAGCCAATAGAAAAACTACAATTCGGAGAAAGTTTACGTTCCTTTAAAAGAAGTCATTTTTGGTTATCTTTTTCCCCTGTATAAATTCTCATCTGGTAATTATAAGGTTTTCATGTTGTGACAAAGAGCAAAGCTCCCGGGCTTGATATTTATCATTCTTTCTTCTAGAACTCGGGTCTTCATTATGTTTGTATATCAAGGCCAAATAAATTCCCCCATTTAACCTTTCGCACTGTTCAGCTCACCCCTTTTCAATGTCTCTCTTTAATAATTATATAAATAACATGGCTAGAATTGGCCGGTCACTTGTGCTCAACGAACAAATGAGTTAAAGTCCCAGAAGTCTGATTATCGAGATTCAATTTTAATAAAAGTGTGAGCATGGGCTGGGTCCGAGACTCCCGACTGTCTTCTAGTACGTACATCTTCACCATGTGCTAATTGATCAGGCAAAAGGCTTTACATTTTAGTATAGATCTAGAGCGGGACCATTATGGCTGAAGATATGTTAATCTTGGTATAAAACTTCAACGCAAGAAACCGAAAAATTTACTATCTGCGGGGCCCGCCCCGGGAGGGGTGTGGTATAACGTGTCAATTTAGGACAGAGTATATATAGTTACACACTATAGGCCAGAAAATCTAAGTACTTCAAGATGGTCGGCTGGATCTGACGAAACGAATCCATAGGACAGATTCTTTTGGTGATGCCGAATCAATGCATGTAGTGAGGACAGCCTAAATATTTGAACCAAGGTGTTTGAACTAAGGTATTGGATCATTGCTAAATCGAAGAGACTACAGATGTCAATGATACCTACAACCACTCAAGGCGCCTCTGTGGTAGCCCTGCTGTGGCGGTAACATATATGTACATGCAATCACTATTCTAGCCGTGACGCGCCGATTACACCTCCCGTTGCCGTGCCAAACCCCAATTAAATCATACTTTCCACGCTAATGAACGACACATTACGACAAAACGCGGGAGAGGGGTAGACCCCACCCCCACCCCAACGATAAGATCCATTCGTCCTGCCCCTCCATCCTATCACATCCACCCCAAACAACCCTATCACACTCATACTTCTACCTTCATCCGCTGGAGCTCTCTGCGAGTCTAGATTCACCACTGTAAGTACCGCTCTCCATTAAGGCTGGCCAGCGGGAATGATGGATGAACTCTAAGAATAAATTCAGGATTGAATATATAGTGGATAAATTTACACGCGGAATGACAGTGACCCTGTTACCTGAAGACCAACCCGTGTGTTACATGTAAGCCTGAGTTCCGTACATCTCGAATATCCCCTTCACGACCAGGGAAAATCGGCTCTATTCACAGTGAGAGTGCTGGCGTGGGCCTACTTATCTACCAACATGAAGTTTGGCGTGGTTTAGGGATATTTCGGCATTGCGGGAAATACAGGTTCAATTGCAAGCCATCTTCGCCAACATTTTACCTACTGGTCAGTGTGTTAGGAATCTGGATCTTCGCCGCCGCCAAGTCTACCCTGGTGTCACCAACGAGAACTCAAACGGATGTGTTGGGGGGTTGACTACACAAATTGACGGAAACTTCAACATATATAGCCAATAGCATATACAGTACGTTTCTGTCCATTTAACTTTTTCGTTTTAAGCTCAGTTAGAATAGCAAAGTATGCCATACTGTATTCCAGTATGGTGTGACGTGACGCACGTGATGTTCTGCGTGACAGAACGTCCTACTGCATTACTGATCGTTTCCCGACACAAAAGGAGCATTCTGGACACATACCGGCAGTTATTTGACATATTTGACATTATGCGGTACGCTGATCGACACTTGCACGAATCAATAGGTCCGAGTGATACCCCATGATTCGTAATAAAGACGGAACGGGTGTATACGCCGGTCAAAATTCACATCCAAAGAGCACAATTGGGGAAGACTTAACTCGGGGACACATGTTGAGTGAGCGCTATCAAGCTCGATTGCAGAAAAACACTTTGTCCATATGCGACGGCGAAGCGACAATACTTACACGGACGCCGGATGCCAACAAAATGAACTGTATCCTCTCATTTTTTTTCGATATTCCAGCTGATGTTCTGCACCCTGCAGTAGCTCCTTGCTTATGGTTTCCGGAACGAGCTTACTCTTCCTTTGAACACATCATTCAGGGACCGTCCTCGTGGCTTTGCAGAGGATTATTCTTTTGAATCAGGTGATATCACTCGTCCTTTATTCATGAATATTTTCGAGCTATATCGAAATCGGGGCGGCTCAGAGTTTCGTATGTAAGGGATCCTCGCACTCGAAGCGTTTCAAGACCAGACCAGTGCGGGCCATCGCGATTGGGTGTCAGAATTCAATTCGTTGGTGCTACATATGCGCCTAGCTTTTAACCCTAGCCCTCACCCAACGACGCCACATCTCTTCCTTGCAAGTCAATTGATCAGCAAAATTCAACATAGTTACGTCGGATCTTGTCATGAGGTATTTGACACGTTTAGAATTTTCAATCCTGCTAGATAAAGATGTTTCCCACTTTATCCCGTTTGGCCTTTACAAACATCGATATCTACCGGTGGATACTTCCTGATCCTTCCGCCGAAAACTCTTGGCTGCCAACGCTATCCAGGAGCGGGAAGGGAGGGAAGTGGCTTGCACGAGGGAAACGTCACAAACATCGAATAGGATTCCTGGATTTGAGATTCCAATTGGACTGTCTACCATTTGCGGGCGTTGCCATAATTGCGGGGTACATGTTCGAACTCTCTGTTGCGATGGAATCCTATTGATGTGGTTGGTTGCATATCGAGTGATCATCTATGCTTTCCGATCGAAACCTTACCATTCAGATCTCATAGATTTCGCGTTGCATGTGAAATTGCAAGTGGGTGAGAAAGAAAATGCCCATGATGAGAAACGTGGATATCATGCGTCATGGTATTGGAGAGGTTACCGAGTACGGCCGGGAGAGGCACGTACGGCATTGAACCTCCAACGACCGGGTCGTATCGTAAAATGATACTTTTTTGTTCACGTCCACGCGCAGCTGTAATATCGTAACGGTTAGATATCAAAATACTGGTCAATATTTTTATTTATTTATTTTTTGCTAATTGGTTTCAACAGCGACGTGAACCCGTTCCGTTTGGCATTTACATTTTTTTTTCTCTTCGGTGCCTCCCGCCCGAACCTTAAACCGATTTATACCGACGTAGGCATGCGCAACCACTCGCATATCAGCAACCCAGTCAACCCAACCTCCTCCCTTCCTTCAGGGAGTAATTTGTACCCAATTCGTCACAAGCCACTCTACACTCAGGTAAAGTGGTTTATTTCAGCTCGCTCTTGCCGGCCTTCTTTTTAATTGAATTCTGCGTGGCGAAAGGGGATCCTTGTAGATACACGCGTGTGCCGTAGCGGTATATGTCCGATGCGGAATTTCGAGGCTTCTTTCTTCTCCCCGAACCTTCTGCTGGCTTCTTTCTGAGTGTCCTAGGGTTCTTGTGGTTGGTGGCTTTGGGGCCTGGTTTCTGCTACACCTGTTGCTGACCGAGTGAACAGTCTCGCGCACGTAGGAACGAGCAGGACAAGTGGTATGTGTCAGAATGGTTTCGAGAGCTGCGAACAGAGGAAGCCATCAGGCGTTTCCGGCCGAATTCACCGAATTCACCGCGCCGGTAGTAGGGGCCCTAGCGAAACGAGGAGTTGAATACTACACTCTATAGTCAATGGCGCCTATGTACAGGTAGTTTACTGCTAGCCGTACTTGAAGACAGTGAAGAAAACCAACAAATAAAAAGGATTGCTTCTCTGCAATTGAATGAATTACTGTAAGAAAAAGCCGCTCAATTTTCAAGATGGCTCTTGTTTATTCTCGGTGAAGACCACACATGCGATCGGCGGTCCGAGCTTCCCAATGGCCTGGCCGACAGAGTAGACTCCTGGCTGATGAAGGCTGAATGCATTGAACAGCGAATGCTCTTATCCTTTGATATGGCCCAATATAGTATCCAGCGGGCTTGCGCGCGGTTGATTCCCAGCCAGTAAACGAAACAAACGAAGAAATATCCAGACGATGACAATTTTCTAGGTAGCTGAAGCTGGGCCGAAGCTGGAGTTTATTCCAGATTCCTTCCTTCCTTGGTCTTTTATTCTGCATGGACAGGGCCGTCAAGCATAGCCAACTCGTCTTGATCTTTGCGTTGCATCATGTTGGTTGGGGTGGTGGTGCAACTCGCCTCGCGCCCCACCTTCCTTCCAAAGATCGATCGATTGCCCGCTAGAGTAGTTTATCGCTAGGCGTCTTTTTCAGCCCATCATAATCTCCTGGTTGTCGAGCCAACAGCGCTAATAGAGGAGGACCCTTGCTCCTTCTCCAATCCCGACTTCTCCGCCCCTCCTTCCTGTCGCACTCGTCGCACCTGAACCTAAAAGATCCACGAAAACGCCAAGGCCGGATTAGGAACGACTCGACTTGCTTGATCAAAACTGTCTGCTAGGGAACAATTGCGCTGAAGGCCTCTCTCGCTAAAGAGGAAATTGAGAGGCTGGCTCCTGTTCCCTTTCCCCCAGCCTCTCACTTTCGCTTCCCCACATCCCTTTTCCTTTTTTCCTTTCTTCGGGGAGAGTTTTTTACTTCCCTTTCACCCAGACAAGGTCTCATGAGCTGTCATCATTCTCCTCACTCCCTCATGTTGGTGGTGGTGGTGGTGGTGGTGGTGGTGGAAATAATGGCCGCTTCTTTGAGGCAATTCTGATCTTGATTGATATTCATTTCCTATTTTACCTCATACTGACAATTGGTGCATACGGGTGTGAAAGGGGGCTGCAGAGTGCAGCTAAAGGTTGCACAGTACCCATTCGGCCCCCGGTTCTGTTTCTATTCTTGTTTGCATGCTATCAAACACAGATAGCGGACAGGGAACGAATTGGCCACCAACACGACCTGGAGAGTCGCCAATTCTATGGTCAAATCTATGGTCAAATCCTGCTGAAAAGGACAAAACAAAATCCCACAGGCCGTGCTAAGACAGCCACTCACGTGCGTCCACATAGTAGGGATCTGGTTTCTTATATACTACTATTTGGTTCATATGATGAATTGCCCGAATAGGGTCGTTTATTATGGTGATCGTCAAATCACGGTATTCGTGAGATCCTGGTAAGAGTAAACAGCACCAGCCACACAACAACAAACAGATCTCGTTTTCCCACCTCTCTCTTCCCCGCCCCCCTCGAGAGGACCGTAGCTTTGTAGTCTCGTCTGGCAAATAGTGCTCCCTTGTCCTTAGTGCCCTTCCCCATTTCAGGCACCCACGTACTTTCCCACCCCAGATCTTCGTCTAGAGAATCCCCGGACCACAGAATACACCTAGAGGAAACCCACCCATAGAGATTTCGCGTCACCTCCCATCCCGGTCCCCGAACGCCTACTTCAACCCGCAAATTCATCACGAATTCAGGTTCCCTTTTGTTCCTCCTCTATCAATCACTCGCCTCACTCGCATCCCAACCGCTCCAGCCTCTTCTCAATCAGCCAGACGTGTTCATCATCTAGCTTGAACACCTCTTTCCCCTTTTTATAATACCACAAACCAGGGTATTCTCCTTTCTTGTCGCGTTAATTAAGGCGACAGGAAAATCCCGGAGAAATCACTAAGCAGACAAGCTGGATTTTGACGCCAGAGTCCCGATTCCCTTCAGTGTCTTCCCGTCATCGTACAAGACACCTGGGACTAGTACACACGTAGTTGAAGAAACTACAATTGAGCATCACCATACTGGGGGGGTGGTAGAGCCGCCTGTCCAGTATCATTCTCATCACGAAGTCGTAGAGGTGGAGAAACAACAGGGACATCATCTTGAGGGACATCATGTCCACCTATCTCATGAGGAAGAGGAGGATCAGCGCATTGTAATCTCTGAGACCGTTCATCACGACTCTCACCATCACAATCAAAATTTCCACAATAACAATCATCATCTTCACAATCCCATGCCCGTGCACCATCACTCGACTCATGTAGTCGAGGAGGTTCACCATCACCATCATGACGAGCAGCCCTCTCAACACGTAGCACATTACGTTGACGAGGAGCGCCGCCACTCGGAAGAGGGTATCTTCTCTGACAGGTCTTCTGTCTCATCCCTTTCCTCTGAGGGCGGGAGACACCACCACGGACACCACTCGCACCGCCCCCACCTCCCTAAGTTGCTGCACGGCACCAGCCACCAACACCACACCTCCCACTCGCACCACGAACACGAGGAGCACAGCAACCACAACCTCCACCACAGCAACCACCACAGCAACCACAGCAACCACGACCACCACGACCACCACGACCACCACCACCACCACAGCGACCATTCCCCTTCTGGAATCGTGCATAAGGTTATTGACAAGGTTGTTGAGCACATCCCGCACGTCCATCTACATAAAGACGAGCACTCCCACCACACCTCTTCCTCCTCTCACCTCCACAACCAACATCAGCATCTCTCGGAAGACCATCACCACAGTCACCACTCTCCAGATCCCATTGTTGTCAGTGAAGTTACTACTGTCGAACGCACAACAGTTGTAGATCCCATCTACGAACAGCCCTCCCACCACTCCGTTCATAAAGTCACCGTCGACGAGTTCACTCCCGTAGTCGAAGTCCGCGAGTCTCATCTCCTCACCGAAAAAGAACACTCTTTCGAACAACACCCTTCTTCATCTCTCACAATGGTTAAGTTCCACGACACCCACGCTCACGGTGATGTCCACAGCTACGACCACTCCACCGGTCTTAGCCACCACGACTCCCACATCTCCAAGGCAGCTCACATCTCATCTGCCCACGAGTCAACCAAGTCCACCTTCACCATCCCCTGCCACCACATCCGCATTGGTGACTTGGTGATCCTCCAGCACCGCCCTTGCCAGATCATCCGTATCACCACCTCTGCTCAGACCGGCCAGCACCGTTACCTCGGTGTTGACTTGTTCACCAAGCAACTTCACGAGGAGCCTTGTGTTGTCTCTCACCCATCCCCCTCAGTGGTCCTCCACTCCCTTCTCGGACCCGTCTTCAAGCAGTACCGTCTCATCGACATCCGTGATGACGGAAAGCTCGTCGCCATGACCGAGACCGGTGAGATCAAGCAGGGTCTCAAGGTCGTCGACCAGGGCCACCTCTGGGGACGCTTGAAGGAGGCTTTCGGTCACGGATCTGGGTCCGTCCGTGTCTTGGTTATCTCTGACCACGGCAAGGAGTTGGCCGTTGACTACAAGATTGTTCACCTTGCCCACAAGTTGTAAACGTGTTATATCTCTAATACATTTTCCATTTGTGTGTAAAATTCATTCTTGGGGTCCCTTGAATGATCCTGTACTAGTCTCTGTGGGCGGGTGTTCTTGGGAGTAGTGTTGGCGGTCGCAATAGTTACGTCTTTTTCCTTTTGTGTCACGTTTTTGAGATATCTTTCATGTTTAATGCGAAAAACATCACAAAAAAAGAAGATGGTACGAATTTTAATTTGGGAGGGGAATTGGGGGGGGATAATCATGTTTGTAGTCTTTAGGAAATATCAAGCGGGGGTTTTCTTCTGTGTTTGGCATTTGATTCGTTTTTTCTTGCATTCGCTCTTTTTTTTCACGTTGTCTCTGGCAAAGCGGGTTGTTTGGAAAAAATTATTCTATCTTAGGGAACGAAATACAAAGTGATATTTTTTTTTGGTTCCCACCAAAATTTATAGTTCTCCATCTTTTTCCATGTGTGAATTCCTGCCATTGACCAATTCCAATGTCTCGGGGGGGAGTGGCTTCAAGGTGTTTCGATTCCAACATATCTTGACGCGTTATTGTTGACTTTGCCGCTCTTACGTCTGACGCGTATCGGATTTGTTTACCTCCACACCCAAGCCGCGTGGTTTCCCTGTTGTGGGGGTTAGAGCGGCAACTCTCACACACACTCACACACACACACAGGGCAACAGCATCAGCGGCGGCCTGACATCCGAGTCAGGTGTAGGAGGGTCCCATGCTCAGGGTCTTCTTTTTCTGTCAACGCGCATATCACATACCTACCATGCCATGCCATGCCCTGCGCGCAGCAAGTACAATTTCCAATTTCCCACGCTCGATCAGCGGGAAAAATTGAGCCATTGGATCAGCTCGCTTGTTTCCTCGCAATTGGGCAATCCCTCTCACGCGCGATGGGGAGAAATGATGATGGGTCTGATGAGATCTACAGTGCGTTTTGGGGGTCGGGGGGAGGGGGGGGTAGTGCTGCGTTGTTTTGCTGCACTTAGCTTTGGGAGAGGTCTCTCTGGAGATTGCGATTGCGGTCTTGTCCCGCACGACATGAACCCATATCCTGGGTGTTCGGATTTGGGGCTGCAATTCAATTGCACCATCCTTACCTTTTTTTTTTCCCTTTCCGTTCCCCTTGCCTTCTTTGCATTACGTTCCATCCCTCGAACCTTCGGTGTGCAGTAGGGAGAGTACATACATGAGGTAGGTACATGTGTAGCAGGTAGGGTTTCTCGACATGTAGAGCAAAGGGAAATACAAATACAAAAAAAAATGGAAAGGCTGGTGTCTTCCCCGGCCGAAGGAAGGAAGCGTGACACTGCTGACGTCGCCTTGGTTCATGTTGGGGCCGGTCGGTCGGGCATTCTATTCTCCACAGTCTCACTCTGCTCTTACGCCACAAACATAACCAATCGCACGCACGCACCTCCTTTGTGCAACCCAACCCAACCACCTCCTACTCTTTCTATCTGCCTACCAATTTTTTTTTCCTTCACTTTTCTCGCGTTCATGCACGCAGGAAGGTCCACAGGCTATGTAGCTAGCCGCCCATTTTTTTTTCTCTCAGCTGAAGAGCACTGTGGATCCGCGGTAATGATGCTGCTTTGGGCATGGGGAAACAAACGAGGTGGATGAAACGGACACGTTTACTTACATCCCATCCATCATCTGAGATAACGAGCTGGCCTGGGTAGCGTAGCCGCGGATGAGGGTGAAGGTGGTTATGGGCGGATTTAACAATCTCACACACACCCTAACCCTGTTCTGGGCGTGCGGCACTGATATTGAAGGATGCTGCTGACACGGAATTGTGAAACGGGATAGTCTTTGCGCGCGATAGAGTGACGGAGGGGGGGGGATGGTGATATGGGTATTTGGGATGGCGTAGATAGAGTAGAGAGCATGTAGAGTGTTCTATGTATATGTTGTGCTGATATGATCTGATGTGATACTGCAATTTTCCGATTAATTGATTGCTTTGGGAATTGTTAGCTGATTGTTAGTAGTAATAGCAGGGAAGCTTCTGTAAATAATTCTGTTCGAATACCTATGCTTCCTTCTCTGGCACGGGAGTGTAACGCGAGATCACAAGTAATCATTCCTCAAGATCACACGTCTCGGTGGTCCCGGGATACCATCAACCCAATTGCTGGAACAATTCCGAACATCTACGGATGTATGTACATGTAGTTAGTTCCCGCTTAGAACACCTCTTCACATCATATCACTCTACAGTTGGTAAAATCACAGCGTCTCACCCCCACAAAAACCGAAACCGAGTGCCCCCTCATGAATCACTCGTTTCCACGACCGGCCACCTCGCCGGTGGTCACCACCCCCATTGGATAGTTGGGCACCCCACTCTCGATCGTGAATCCCATTTTCGGCGAAATCGCCCCCCGAGGCTGGTGTTCGCAACCGAAGAACCGACCAAACCTTTGTGAGTCCAGTCCTTGGTCCTTGATTTTCCCACATCTCCAAGCATCCACAAGCAACAAGAGAGGATCATTGTTTACAAGCAGGTTAAAGCATGCCGGCGGAACGTCGGAACAGAGCCTCACCGGCAAATACTACAGTCTGGGCGGTAGGTCCATACCCGTTTTTTTCCTACTCTACATGTCATAATTCAAAATTGCTATGCTATGCTGTGCAGTAGTAGTAGTGTGGTCTAGCAGAAGAGAAGGCTAACTGTGTTTCCCCAGTGTACAGAATGCAAGGTATGTTTACTACCTTATCTTACCTTACATTACATTAGCTATGAGGTATCCCCAAAGTCGAGTTACCAAGGCTTATTCTCGACCGAACACATAACAGCGTCGAAAAGGAAAGGTATCTATGCAGAACAACCCAACCCTGCCTTCTCTATTTTCTGTTAGCTGACTTGGAGATCTTCAGTGTTCGGGGGAGACACCCTGCGCCTTCTGCCAGAAAGCAAACCGAACATGCACATATGAGGCCAGGCCAGTCCGGCTTCCACTGACCAGGAAGTGAGATTGTTGCTCTCGGCCCACCCCCTCACTACCCCGCATTTCGGGCCCGGGGCAGTGGTTAACGTTGAGTGTGTGTGCCTGCCTTCTAGAAACTTGGACTACCTCCAAGCCCGGTGTGCCAAACTCGAGACGCTTCTCCGGACGCTCGACCCCAGCATCGACATCGACACGCTCCTTTCCAGCCCCGACTGCAACTCTTCCGACGATGGCGACATAGCTGCAGAGCAGTACGGCGATGGTGACCTCGAAGAGATGCTACCCGAGAGCGAGAACGTCTGCGGGTTCGAGTGGCACGAGCGGGAGATCAACGAGCTGTCGGATGGCATGGCCAGTCTCAATGTTGACAGTCGAGACGTTGGGTACCTTGGTGGGTAGCTTTCCTGCCACACCTCTCCCCCAGGGTGCTTGCTAACTCGCAGGTATAACACAGGTACCTCTTCTGGCGCAGCCCTCCTACGGACAGTTCATCGTCTGATTTCTAGACAGAGCGATTCGCCGCAGCCTTTGTTGTTAACGCCTACACCGTCAATTTCGAGGATTGCGCAGAGCCTTACTACAACACTGACGGCGTCGCTCCTGATCGATGCTTATTTCGAACACTATCATCCATCGTACCCGCTTATCCATGAGCCTTCATTCCGGAATACATGCAATAACCTCAACACGCTTCCGCCATCGTCTTCGTTTCGGCTGGTCTATGGAATGGCACTGACGCTTGGTGCATTCACGGCATACGATGGTAGCAACAGTGATGAAATGGATGTCGACATGAGGATCTGGACTGCCGTCCGTGGCGGGCTGTCAATGGCAAGTATTCTTGAGTCGGGCACGCTGGAGCGTGTACAGGCTCTTGCAATGATGGGGCAGTATCTACAGAAGAGGGATCGCCCAAATACGGGGTATAACATGATGGGTACAGCAGTACGGATGGGGTTCGGATTGGGCCTGCATCATGAGGGTTACCGGTGCGTGAGCGAGACATTGGGTCGGGAGCATAGGAGGAGAGTGTGGTGGTTACTGTATATTTTCGATGTCGGCGCGAGTATTACGTTTGGGAGGCCTGCAGTAGTGAGCGACAGGGCCTCAACAAGGATTCCGGTGAATGTGGACGATGCGGTACGTACCCTAGTATTCTCCTATATAGTGGGCTTTCGTTTTAAGGGCCTGTGAATAGGGCCTCTGTGGAAAGATGGTGCACCTATGAGGATTCTGGGTAATCCTTATAGGCCACTACTTTATTCACTTACGCCGGGCTACCTTCTTACTCGTGATGCCGAGGGGTCGATTATGATTTGATATGGCTCTCTGCACTCATCTTAGAACGTAATTGATCTCGGCGTCTCCAGTAATAAGTACCCCCAGCAGGAGACACCCCAAGGCGAAAGTCCCTCTACACACTGTCAAGGATCACTGACTTAACCTGACAAACAGGAACTCACGAGCCCCACATCCCCACTCCCACCTGCAACAAGTGGCATAACGACCTACACCGCGATGATTGCCCACGCCTCACTCGTACGCCTCGCCGCACGAATCCACAGCTACTTGATCTCCCGACAGTACCACAACCAGCTCTCACGCGAGCTGATACACGCCTTCGACACCCAGATCCACACCTGGCACGCCTCGCTCCCACCCTTCTTCACCACCCCCGCCTCCACCGTCCCCGCGTGGTTCCGCGAGCCGCGCGCAGTCGTGCTCTGGAAAGAGCTCAACCTGCGCATGATCATGTACAAGCGCTTCCTGCCGCTGCTACAGAAGGGCAAGCGGCAGCTGCCCGACCGCGACGCGGCAATCTGCATCTCGCTGGCGCTGGAGACCATCGCGAGCGTGCGCGAGTATGTAAAGACCGAGACGCTGCGGCGGGGCGTGGCCTGGTACTGCACGTATTTTGTGTTTCAGGCGGCGCTGGTGCTGGTCATTGCGGTGCTGAAGACGGAGGAGCAGGAGGCGGTGTGGGCGGAGGGGCTGGAGAGCGCGGAGGTGTGTTTGGATGCGGCGAGGGGGTGCCTGGGTGATGGGGCGGGGAGGTGCTTGGATGTGTTGAGGAGGGTGGGGAGGTTGTGGAGTGGTGGGGACGAGGAGGTGGTGTTGGAGGGGAGTGGTAATTTGTTGGTGGGTATGGAGGAGTGGAGTGGTGGCATTGGGGTGGATGGGTTGGGGATTGAGGGGATAGGGGGCTTTGATGCAGCGGGTGCGGTGGGTTTGGAGGGATGGATGAGTATGGCTGATCAGGGTTACGAGGACTTGTTGGATGCGAATCTGTTTACCAGTGATACGTAAGGATGGGTGCGGTTAAGCTGGGCTGGGCTGGGTAGTAGAGCAGATATTGCTCCTTGTGCTGTGTGAGATCTATCGAGTGATTCGCCATGACCCATTTTAATATCCGTAGTTGACATCGTGCCAGTGATATAGAAAGTCCCAAATACTTAAACCTAACTACATACATGGTTCAATTGTAACTAAAAATCTCCCACATTCACAATTTGCATGTCTAAACTAGAGCCGAAATACCACCTGCAATCACCGAAAGTTAATAAGACACCGGCAGGAAGAAAGAAAGAACCATTCAATACATACCATCAACCTTGATATCCGTCCCAGTTATAAACTTCCCAGCATCACTACAAAGCAAGATCACAGCCCCATTCAACTCATCAATGCCCCCGATTCTACCCAACGGCGTCCTCTCAATCCATATTTTCCGATGGTCATTCAGCCCGTCTCCCTCGTTCAGCACAGTATTCATATACCCCGGCGAAATCGAGTTCACCCTGATTCCATAGCGCCCCCACTCCGCCGCTAGGCTCTTGACCATCATTAGCACGCCGGCCTTGGAGACATTATAATTGACCTGGGGCTGCGGGAAGTTCGCTGCGTGGCCGGAGATCGACGCAGTGAGTACTATCGACCCTCCACGGCCACCCGTTTCCATCGCCCTATCCGTCAAGTCAGTCTTATAACTCAAAACCAACTCCACATCGACAGCAGATCAAAGGTCATACTTCGCAACCGCCTGCGCACAAATAAACGACCCCGTCAGATTCACACCCAGTACCCTTTTCCACGCCGCCTGACTCATATCCAGCGCATCCTCACACTTCACCACCCCCGCAAACGCAACCAGTATATCCACGCCCCCCCATAACATCACCATCGCATTGACGGCCGTGGTCACGGCCTCTGCGTTTGTCACGTCGGCTGCGACAAAGGTCGCGGTGCCTGTTGGATAGTTTTTGCGGAGAATTTCTGCTACGGCCTCGCCGACGATGGCGTTTACGTCTAGTATTACGATTACAGCTACACCGTGCTCGAGGAGTGCGCGGGAGGCTTCGAGGCCGAGGCCGCCGGAGCCGCCGGTTACTGGTGGGTGGTCAATGAGGGGTTTGTAGATATAACGGGAAGGTCATAGAATGGGTGGGTGGGGGGGTGAGATATTGGATATGTACATACCAATAGCCACTTTTCCCTTAAGAGAGAAACGTGCTGATGCTGCGCTCTCTCTTTCGCCGGTGTCCTTGTCCTGTGGTTGGAAAGGCGGTGGGGGCGCCGTTGGGCGGGCGAATTCCATTTTTGGGACTGGGGCGGACATTGTGGCTTTGGGACGGTGTGCGGTGGTGGTGGTGAGGATTGTTCGGCGTTCTGGTTATTTGTGGGTTCGGAGATATCGTGGTGGGGCTGGTATGGAGGGGTATGATTGATGCGTATATATATATATACTCATCCTATCCCCATGTATGCATGCGGACGACGGTGCACCGTACTCCGCGGCGAGACCCCGGATGGTCATCTGCAGCATGTGCCCCATCGATCTGATATCTCGCAGTATCAATTGCGGGGTAGATGGTGAGGGAGGTATGTTGTATTGGTCAATTGATCAATTAATCCCCACGTTCTGGCAGGCGTTTGCTTAAAACCGAGAGTATTTGCTCACAATTAGTCGGGTGTGCATGTATGAGCTATGTGCGATTCTATGGGGCGGTAAATGTGTCAAAAGTAATTTTACCAACGGTAGTAAATTATTTTACCACCAGTGGTGAAAATAATATCAGTATTTATACCCTATAATGCTAATTTTTATGATAAAAGCACAGACCTTTTGGCCAAAAGGGGCCATATAATGCCAATATATATGAAAATTGTCCACCGGTGGGGAATCTCACCATCAGTGGCGGTATTTCACCACAGGTGGGAAATTTTCATAAGTTTTGACATTAATGATTGAACATTTACTTATTTAGTATAGCACAGCATAAAGACCGAAACTCAGTGCTTATACTGGTGGAAATGTACTAATGTAGGATAGCATGCAGATACAATGACTGAAATTCAGTGCTTATACCACCGGTGGCAAATAATTTACTACCGTTGGTAAAATTACTTTTGACACATTTACCGCTCCATACGATTCGATATCATAAATTGGAAACTGGACCGAGGATCTTCGACAAGTTGTGTGCTCATTTGTGGAAGATATCAACGATTTGCTCTCCGTAATCGTAAGGAATATATGTGTTGCATAGGGCTAGGCTTGGTGTGTCATGGTATATCACTCGAGTGTCACTTGTTGTTGTTAGCTCATATTACTCGCGTCCAGCTGGCCAGTCCGAAGACATATTACTCGCATCCAGTCCGAAGGCTATGGTGATGTACCAGGCAGCTCCACACCCTATCCAGGTATTATGAATAGCTAGGGAAAACTTCCAAAATCTAGTTCGTGTGAAAATAGGTGGGGCTTGAATACGGCACACACCCGTGGGGGGTATGTGGTGGGGTTGAGAGATATGAGAACCGAGTGCCACTTGGTGAGTATGTTGTTATTTATTGTTTTTGTTCGTTAAGTCGTTTCTTGTGGTAAGTATGTTAAGTTCAGTACATACATGTACATAATAAGACCACGGGTTGCATGTGAGCCTGCCTTTACGTGTACTAGGATTCATTTAGCAGTGTCCGGTATGCGTATATAACGTAGGGAAATGAATGTTTCGTACTGTAGGTCCAGTTAAGCAGATTGAGATCTAAGAATATCTGTAAATATTCAACAACATACGTAGGTAGCTCGGTCGTGTGAAGGGTTCCCACCAGCCCTGTGACGTAACTTTGCTCGTGCCTCTAGAGGGATAGGGGGATCCGCTTTCTGTGATAGTTGAGCAGACCGTGTCGACCTTAAGTAGGCAATAAATAGTAATTAAGGAGTCGATGGAAAGATGGTTGCTTGGGAGTTGAAGAGGGCTGAATATTGATTCTAACATACGTATATGTGTGTGTATACAAAAAGTATATGGTAGGTGTGTTCTTTCCTAATGTAACACAAATCCAAGCCGTCTTACTTATAGCCCCGAGACTTCCAGTTCTGCTACTATGGCCGAGGCCACAGTAAGCCGTGTACTCCAAGCGATCGAGACGAAAAGCGGTAATGGTGAAGGCTGACATGACTTCCCCAACAAGGCTATATTTTTATTATGCAACGGAAATTTACATCGAAAACAGATTGAATAAATCAATGAAGATAAACATACACCCCAATTAGGAGTCATGTATCACTGAAAGTTGAAAAGTTTAAAATCAGTCAAATAATTAATTAATTCTACATGAATCAAGCGTACTTGGTCTAACGGTTATGATTTTCGCTTCCCAAGCGGGAGAACGGGGTTCGACTCCCCGAGTACGCATCATGAAACCTTGTCACCTTTCCGCTTTATCGCGAGGGTGTTCAAGGAAGCATTTTTGCCAATTTTTATTGTATATCCTGGACTGAGATTGGTCGGCAGATGCAGTTCCTGAGATTTTTAGAACGAGGGTGCCTGTGATATTGCTATGTAGTATTGCTGCAATACTTTGGATAGATCGTGCCGCTTTAACCCGGTATTTTCACACAAATATGTAATATTTCTAGATGGTTTCCTTAGATACGGTCACAATGTTAAATTCTTAGACAAGACAAGCATACGTGACGCGTATCAAAGGTGGCATTCAAAGCCTGGTCTCCGCTTTACGAGTCATATTGAAATACAAGTTTGACCCAGACAGATAAAATCCGTATTACTGGTTAAATTGAGCTCATGAGCTGAGATTAGCATAGTCCCAAACTCTGTAACGTGAACCAGTATTCCACGGCTAGATACAAGCATCGAAATATATAGATCGATCCTCCACACAAAGTCAGAACTGAAATATCACGAGACATCACTGGGATTCTGCTTGGGCATGTTCTTCATCCCAATTAACGAGCCAGATATCACACAGGAAGGTCCACGAGCGGCCATGAACGGCTATCTGATCAATATCTCCCGTTCATTAATTGATTCCATCCACTCCAGCCCTTGTGACGAATGGCCGCTAGAATACCACCTCACTCGGAGGGTTGACGTAGAAATAGGAAGGACATGTGCTGTAATCGGTTTCTATACCTCGAATTGGGATTATTCACCGATATATTATGATTAACCGTTTGAATGAGGAGGGTGTTTGAGTGGCCCGGGGAGGCGTCTATACGTAGCTACAAGCTTAGATATACTTGCATCTTCGTTGTTGGTAATAACCGCCGGGGTGATTCATGCGTCACAGTTTCTGTTGTTTAAAGGTTGATGCAGGTCAGCTTTTTCGTTGCATCTGTCAACCTCAGCTTCTGGTTTAAGTGTCTGCGTACCATAAGAGGAGCTTTAAATTGTTACAGTATACCCAAAATTCCCTTTCTGGCGGCGGCGGCGATAGTGTGGCTAATAGACGAGCCAGTTCGAGTCAAATCTATCACTCGCGGTATTATCGGTATAAAGTTTCCGTCCTAAATTCCTGGCAGGCTAAATTTGTCTAATTTAGTGTAACTAATTCATCACAACAGTTAATTCTCAGGTCGAAGATCGTTTGAGTTCCTACCAGAAATCGAGTCGGGGTGGGTTCGCCCTTCGTGAGGGTACGTACGGGTAGGTTGGCGGCAGGCTCAAGCTAGATTTGAGAGCTCAGGCTGGATTTGAGAGCTCTGGCTCGATATTGGCGGATGAGGCGAGCCTCAATTTGAAAATGATGAGCCAACTTGATGTATCTGCATACGGCAGGACCGTGGACCACGCTGGCATTGTGGTACTTGTGGCACTTGTAGTTTAATTCCATCCCTAACCCTTTGCCAAGCATGCCAGGACCGGTACAATTTGGCTTAAACCCATGATCTAGGATATCTTTGAGGATTTGGTGGTTCACTGACTTATAAGTTCTGTTCGTGAATATGAAGGCGGAATTATTGGTATTGCAGGAGCGAGGTAGTTCGCTAACTTCCGGAACCTTCTCTCCGCATTGAACGACTCGGCTACCTAAGGTGATGGTAGGTTCCTATCAATCTAGTCACTCATAGATGAACAATACATCATGCCACGTGAAATTCTAAGTTTTTACATCGATTTCTTTCGAAGTTTTCTATCTATATGTAGTAAAGAGCGTATCTTCTAGCTAATACAAGTATATAATCGAGTGAGCGAAAGTATGTGTAGTCTTAAATACTGTGATAACCTTCAAGGTCCTACTCATATTGCCCCTCCTCATTCTGAGGCCCGCCCTCATTCTGAATTCTGATAACCTCACCATCCTTGCTGGTAATCCTCTGGATCCTCGAGTCTTTTGGGTGGGCGGGGTTCGCGATAGCGACGGCACCGGTACGGATCCTGTTCGAGAGGCCTTCGAGGCTGTCTAGGGCGGGGGCAGGTCTGCACTCTACCGCAAGGGCGACGAGAACGGTGAAGAGAAGAAACTTGGTGACGGCGGTCGTATACATGATGGATAGATTTTCGTTGTGATGGTAAGGACAGGAATAGCGATGATATTAATGTGTGGTGGGGGCGGGGGAAGAGGGGTAGAGGAGTTTCGTTGGGGTGTATACGTGTATGGTTATTGTTGAGTCATCGGTTGTATTTTTATGCATTGTTTGGAAAGAATTACGTCGTTATTAGAGTTTCACTAGTGGTGGATGGGGTTGTAAAGAGAATTCATGTTGGAAATATCATTCCTAATCTGATTGCCAAGACACTAGACCACTTCACGAATGAACCTCTCTGGAGAAAACATCTGCAACTCCGTTTTATTTCAGGGCTCATTAAATGTAGAAGATAATTGGGATTTTTATTTCAGAGATGTTCTAACTTGGGATTCACAGTTGACATGATAACTGACTCACTAACCGAGGTGGGGTTGTGTTACTTTAAATCACGCAATTGTATCATTCCCCATGCATGCCACAATATGCCAGGTCTCGTCAAATCGGACAAATACTGTAAATATGTCTTCAAAGTATAGTTGTATAGTCTATACGATTGATAAAGTAATCTTCTACATGCCATAGAGAAGCCTATTTGAAGTGATATTCACTCATGATCGTGAAACGGGGAGGATACCCAATCACAAAATATCACTCGCAAGGCTTGATAAAGGTATTAGATGACTTGTCACCACCACAACGGTCTACCGATGGGCTGTGAAGTGGGTATATAACCAATAGAAGCGCTGGGATGAACTCGGGTGTATAATGGGTACTTGAACTGCGTTATTGAAACTATAAAACTGGCCTTTTAGGCTCGGTTTGAAGGGGATATTGCTTGGGAGCTGCGCAGGGGAATAATACCAAACAGTCTCTAGAGTAGACCAAGTCAGTATTGATACTAGATGTGGGACTGGTGTAATACGCGGCCCTTTCTCGGGGAAGGGGGTGCATTTAGCGACATGCATGGTGCTCGCATTGACAGAGGCCGCACCATTGCTTACCCAGCCCTCCCCGGGAGAATCTGCTATTCTCTTGGCTTGATTACTACACTTTCTTATTATGACTGTATTTATCTCACACTCTCTCACGCTTTCTCCTAATCTCCTATCCATCCCAAGAGCTGCTCTCTTCATCCTCTTTACGTGTGAAAGCAACTCACTTTCTCTTACAATGATGGTCTATCACCTCATATTTTTTTTTTTTATCTCTCTAAGTTGATTTTCTTTACATTGATTTATTTTCTCTTACCGTAATGGTATCTGTTCACCTGCTGTTTGACAACACCATTCTCTGCGGCTGGTCTGCTGCTCACTTTGAGGGTTTTATCCCTCAGTTGCATCGTGATCCCACGATCAACAAAAGCTTTATCACCACCGGCCTCGGCTGACTGCAACAGAGTTATCAAACTCGCTGCATTGGTCTGCCCCGGGGCCGGGGGCGAGTATTCTTGTAGGGCATATGTACTGCAATCAGGTAAGTCTTCATGACTAGAAACAACTCTCCTCAGCCTGTTCTGCTCACTCACCAGTATTTACCAGCCGAAGAGTTCGGTTTTATCGATAAAGTCGTATCAAAGAGCAAGATATCATCGAGCTTGAAGGATTATATGGCTCAAGGGTTGGGGCTCCAGAGTATAGTCGTCAATACCTCAGTAAGTACAATTAACCCCTCTTTATGAATATCACCTACGAGAATACTAGACTAATAAATATTAAATTACATGTAGTTACTCGCTATATTCTTGTAGGGCATGTGTACTGCACACATTAGGCTCGGGCTGGAGCAGATGACGTTAGAAATGTAAAAAAAGACCTTTCACGCATGAATATTCTCTACGAGGGCATGTTACTAATAAGAACACGGGAACAGATTTCTGCCTTGCTCTTGTAGGGTGAATGTACTGATCCACTATCTCGGTGGTCCATAGCGAGTTATGCTATGAGATCGATATTCCAGATGTAAATTTCCCTTTAGAAATATATCCACCTTGTGAATACTTGTACTAATAAGAGTGTGGGATTAGAACTGGAGAATATTCTTGTGGGGCGAGTGTACTCCACTATCTAGGTGGCCCCTTGCAAGTTATGCACAGAGAAGATCGATATTCCAGATGTAAATTTCCCTCTAGAGATAATATATCTACTCTGTGAGTACTTTTACTGATAAGAATGTGGGATTAGAACTGGAGAATATTCTTGTGGGGCAAGTGTACTCCACTATCTCGGTGGCCCCTTGCGAATTATGCACCGAGAAGATCGATATTCCAGATGTAAATTTCCCTTAGAAATATATCCACCCTGTGAATACTTGTACTAATAAGAGTGTGGGATTAGAACTGGAGAATATTCTTGTGGGGCGAGAGTACTCTACTATCTCGGTGGCCCCTTGCAAATTATGCACCGAGAAGACCGATATTCCAGTTGTAAATTTCCCTTTAGAGATATCCACTCTGTGAATACTTTTGCTGACAAGAATGTGGGATCAGAACTGGAGGATATTCTTGTGGGGCGAGTGTACTTCACTAGGCGAATCCGGTGGCACGAAGTGCTCGAGATCAAGGTATGTATAAGCACACTTCTACGAATATTATTTACCAGAATGTTTTGCTGATGAGATGCGTGCAGCGTGCTACAGATGATATTGAGATCTTGAATTCAGCACTGTTATTTGGCTATGAGGATGAGTGTGGGTCTAGATTTGCACAAGGATGGCATTACGTGTACGTTCGTTTGCTGGTCTCAAGGGACCTGGGACCATTACTTCCATAGGAGTAGGGAGTTTATTTGCTAGTCCCAAGGACCATTACTTCCTTATAATGGTCGGGAGTGTGCTTGCTGGTCCATAGAACGCGTGGAAATCAAACTGCATGTCTTCGTTAATTCTATGGCGTTGACACGATTCGGTATATGTTAAAATATAGTAATCACTAGTTGAACGGATCATGCTAGAACTACAATGGGGGCTGTGGTGTCACTGGGGTTGGTCTATCCTCATTATTTTTCTTAAGCTTATAAATAAATGTATATATATCTGAGAAATTAATATTAACATGTGGAGCAGAAAATTCGAAACAGATTATTCTTGTAGTTTTACAGAGCTAGATCTAAAGCCCTCCACGTTATCTTTCTCTTTCAAACGAAATTAATATAAATCAAAACTAATATTCTTGTGGTACCAGAAGATATTTTCGTTTTGCAGTTTTTGATTTCTTCGTAAATACAATTGAGTGATGTGATTGATTATATAAGGATACAAGTGCAGTGCGGCCGGAGGTCGCACTATACGCATGTAATGAGTAAATGAATCGATTGAAGATTTGTCTATTTAGTGCATGGAGGTTGATTTGTTTTGTCTGTCTTATAATTATCAGATTCGCTAAACCTTCGAAGTGAAATGGTGCTGTCCAATCTATTTACGTTCAGCTCATGCTATTATTGGTCCGAATTGTTAAAACCTCTGGCATGAGTACTTAGCTAATATATATCAGTCCTTCTTTCTCAATAAAGGGCTCACGATCGGGATCGGGTGCTGCTGCGCGGCACACCTACCCTTCCTCGTTAGTATGAGTTCGAATTCTAGGTAAATACGTAGTTCACAAAGAGATTCTGAAGATATATCTGGGAGTTCAAAGTTATATATAATATAATACCCACAATTCTGTCAGCTTGCGCTTTCGATGTCGACTCCCTTCCATCCCTTCCCGGATCGGGAGCAGTTCTTTGTCTATATGTGCTTCTATCTAAGCTGTTGTGGCCAATAGGAATGCTTCGTGATTACAATGAGGAAGCTTATACTATTTAGATAAGTCACCTAGTATGAGAATTGTACCAAGCCAAGAATCCACCCCGGTAAACATCTCGAAATAAAGCAATGAGCATTGTATCGATTACGTCCACTCCTTGGATATTGGCGCTATACTACCTCTATTATATACGAAGGAATTATAAATCAATCAGTCAATCAATTACCCCTGTAATATATCCCCTGTATTTTAATACGACAAAACCGAGTGATTAGCCATGATGCCACCGCCTTATTATAGTTATCGTGTGGAACAGATTATATGAGGAAAGAGCTAGTGGAATGATAGTAACTTTTTCAAAGTGATGGGATAATGACGCGGTGTATAAAGCTGTGACGATAAGTGAGGGGGATAAAACTGGGAGGGAAGGAAGGAGGCTGGATCTCATATTACTACGTTTCTATTCTGCTCAATTGATCAACCTACACAGAAGACTTTCTATACCTGTTATGTGATACAGGTACACCCCCAACAACACAACAAAGTATATATACAAACACATCTACCACCACCGAAAAAGCCTTCTGATATAATATGGCGTCATGGGTAACTACAAGTACCGGCAGGGAATTTCTGGCCAGCCAACTAGGCCGTCAAACTAACCTTCTTTACACCCAAGCACTACCCCCTTCCGCACATCTGGTAACACCTAGATAGTGTTTCGAAAAAAGGGCGACACGCCTGATCCGTATCCTAGAGTGGAGCCACGGCTAGAAGTACCAATGGAAGCATCAAAGCTGGTGCTAATATCGTCTGGCCTGAGTTTTAGTTTTGGTTCAAATTCCGTGAGATCTTGAAGCATTTGAGCACAAACTACCTGGCCCTACACCGGAGATTGAACCTTCCCAGGGTGCGGATCACTTAACGGGAAAAGCTTGATGCTTTCAATGGCCAACCTTCATGTTCGACATGTTCAATCTTTGGTCCTGTCCCTGGAGGTTGGACGTCCGCTATGATGACGTAAAACGGGCTCCTTCGAATTATCGATACATATTATATCCCCTAGCTGAGTATATATTCCAGGGACCCTCACGGCGTGAATTATTGGATTACTGCTATTGTTTCGGGCCTGGATCCATCCTCAACGACAATCAGATGCAGCGTTCATAATTCAGCACACCACAATCTGGTTCCACACCAACCCCCCCGTCCTTTCTCCAAGATTGGGATAGTATGAGATTTGTTTATCCCTCCCCGGTTGGCCGCCGCAGACGTTTGCGTACATACACGGCTATACTTAACGGGCCGGGTACGTCAAGCACGATTAAGCTTAAGCTTTAAATTACAAACTTACGCCAGAGATACATGCAAGTTTATACGAGCTGTAGGATTCCGGACAAGTCTAAACGTTACAAATTCTCAATTGATCGAAGGATCGTACCAATAAACCCTTGTCAACGATAAATGTCAATCACTACTTGTTTTGGGTAGTTGAAGTAGTTGGTTTGATAAGTCCTGTACCTACATACTTTACTCTGGGTACATAACTTAGTTGTCATGCCAAGAAAGCTTATTTTTTCGTGAGTTCCATCTCTTCTTGACAGACATCGTAGGGTGAGGGCGTCGAGACGTGTCGAGAACTTCACCTCTACGACAGATATCCACAACACAGTGTTGGCCCGCCAAGACAGAGCTGAATATCAGCCGGTTATGGCCACTCTCTACACTTCCTTCCCGTGTAGCACAACCGGAAACACCAAGATGAAAGCTCATCGGGACTCTAGATTGTATTGCGCATGTAATCCGTCTTATCAATCAATCGATCCAGCATGGCTTTGCAGTGCAAGAACCCTCCCGCCATAAATTCAGGACGAGAGCCCGACTGCACCGTACCTTAAGCACAGAGGAGGCTTCCTGCCTGCATAACAAAGTCCGGATGTCATGTTTCAGGTATATGGAGAGTTTGTTTGTTGTAAGCCCTTCTCGATGGTGGAGTGGAGTGGAGGAAGTCTGTAACGAGGATGTTGATCTGTTTGCTCCCGATCCCGGGCCAAGCAACGCCAATTATCGATATCTGCAATACCCACTCGATCGACTTCAGATCCGTATCTCCCAATCATCCCAACCGACCTCAACCTGGCCGCCCCCATCGCTCTCCATCTACCCATGCCTTGACCACTATGGTCCAGGGCTCAGCCACCGCCTCCATGGAGCACAGACACCCAATCGAGCATAGCACTGATCCAGAGTCGTACCAGCAGCTCGGCTTGCCCGGTGGTGGGATAGCGAAACGAGTATCCGAGCCAACGGTACCGAGTCCTTTGATGATGCATTGATTGCGGGCTTTGTCAAAGGCAGGTTGTGGAAAGAAGTTAGAATTGGCAATAGAGGAAGGATAGTAGACTATCCGTCCATGGATGATGGAGGTTTGGAAGAGAGTCAAGCGTTTTGATTGCAATCTTGTTTGTCTTTGATCCCCTTTTCTGAGCTTCCCCATACTAATGCCTAGGCAGTTTGATTCCTAACCGAGGGGACGGTACATTTTCAAGACCTAGCCCTATCAGACATTAGGTAGGAGGAAAATGATGTAAAGAGTCGACAACGTTTGTCTCTAGTTCCTGCGCCGGTAAAAACAACCACTTGTGCCTGCGTGCGGCGTGCCTGCATAATCGAGGAACAAAGACTGTCTCACCTAGTCCAGCCACAAAGAAGGAAAGAACAAGCTCTCTCTGCCGCATCGAAATTGTGCCAAGGGCAACGTCTAGCCAGGAACGAACGCCATATTTTGCCGCAACGCGCGCGAAAAGGGATGAAGATACTCTAGTCTGTGTACTCTTCCTACCGCTTTTGTTTGCGTTGTACCTTCCCTCTCCCCCATACATCCGATGGCACAGAACCAGCTCGTGCTAAACGTGGTACAGATAAGATTTTCTCATGGGCATGGAGAAGACAGGGGTGAGCTTATTATGATCTACCGATATTCATTGTACCACGCTGGACGGAGCCGGAAGTGGATAAATATTGCAAACCTCGTGATATTCCATATTCCATAGGAGGAATGGTGAATGCGAATCATTGAGGGAAACGATAAGTTGTAATTCAACAGAGTTTCGGGGGGTTTACAATCTCCCCCTTATGATAATTATGTGTGTGTGTGGGTTTGGGGGGGGGGAGGAGGGTTCGGTACCTTTCTGATGCCCAATTATTCATGTGGCTGACTGGAGATAGGCTAGACACAAGTGGTGGAGGTTTCGTTGGTTTTCTAGCCGCATTACTGGCTGTTATACTCCTGCCAAGATCCGGGACCTGCAGATGTTCTTTCCGGGGGTCGAACCAGTCAGTCAGTTCAGTTGGTAGTAGATTTTGAAGATATATTTAAAGAGAATCTCCCGCCATACCACCACTTTTCTCAACCTCCACCGCATCCTGCAGCGCAGCCAGTCACTCTTTCCTGGCCTCCTTCATTCGTTTCTGACCTACAATATAATAAATATCCCATCTAGGATAGTTCTATCGTTAATATAATATACATATCTCTCTATCTCTAATAAAGATGACCTACAACTCCAAATACTTCCTCAGCTTCGCAGCTCTTGCGTTTGCTACTACCAATGCCCTTATTGTCACCCCGACCGACGACGCAACAGCACTAGCCAATGCCGTCCTCGGCCCCGGTATCACTCTCGTCTCAGCTACCTACAGCGGAGCCTCCGGTAGCTCCGGCACCTATACCGATGGGCCGCTGGGTATCCGCGACTCCATCGTTATGACCTCAGGTAATGCAATCGACACCGTCCCTGGGCCCGGTACCAGCGAAGAACTATCCAAAGACCGTAACACCGCCGGTAGTGCGCTCTGCCAGTCCCTCAACGGCGGCGTACAAACGTATGATGCTGCGGTGCTCAGCATGGACGTCATCCTCGAAACCGGCTATGCAGGCTTCTTCTCAGAGTTCGTCTTTGCCAGCGAGGAGTACCCCGAGTGGGTGGGTAGCGACTTCAATGATGTGTTTGGCATCTGGATCGACGGTAAGCAGATTGCGGTGGACTCGACTGGTGCCCCCGTCACGATCAATGGGGGCTTCTTCTCGAGTGCGGATGTGGTGACGCCGCCGGCTTCGGGGTCGAGCTTTGATGGATCTACGCCGTTGCTGAGGGCGGGTGGGTCGGTGATAGCTCCGGGCGCTCACACCATTCAAGTGGCTATCTGTGATACGGCAGATTCGCTCTTGGATAGCTCTGTCTTTTTGGCCCTGGGGGCTTGCACGGATGCGGAGAACTGCAAGACCGGGGCTGTTAAGGCCCCGCCGGTAACATCGACCTCTACAACTTCAACTTCTACGACGTCGATGAGTGTGATATCAAACACTACTATCGTTGCCCCAGTCACGACAGTCCCTGCCAACACGAGCACTGTCGTTGTGCTTCCCACCACCAGCTCTATTATCCCGACAACCAACGTTACGCTCCCCGAGGTTACAAGCACCACTGTCACCGCTGTCCTGCCCATCGGCACAAACCCCACCGCTCCAATTGTCACGGGTCCCATCAGCTCCGTGCACACATCCAGCGTGACCGCCCCATACGGTAACAGCACTGTCATTGTTGCCCCAACCAACACTGGAAGCAGCGTCATCACCGCCGCCCCATTGCCCACCGACGATGAGGAAGCCCCATGCGTGACCTACACTTCCTACATCACCAAGACCTTCACCAAGTGTGACCAGACCGCCTGCCACGCCACCACTACCGTCAAGCCCACGGTCGTCACCTCAACTCTGCACTTGACTGTCTACACACCTTGCTCGACTGTCACCGTCAGCAAGTGCGCGGGTGCGGAATGTGTAACTTACACCAACACTGTCACGTACCCGGCGGTCACTGGATACCCCCCAGTCCCGACCTTTGAGGCCCCTGCCGTCTCGACCGTGACTCCTGTCTCTGCTTGCACTCCGGGTGTGAACTGCCCCCACGTCCACCCCGCTTCCTCTTCCGGTGTTGCTGTTCCATCCGCTCCAGTTGTCGGTGCACCAGGCGCTCCCGCTTCATCTGCTGGCGTTGCTACCCCATCTGCTCCCGTTGCCTGTGGTATTAACTGCCCCCACGGCCACCCCACCTCTTCTGAAGGTGTTGCTGTCCCATCTGCTCCTGCTACTGGCGCACCAGGCGCCCCGGCTACATCTGCTGGCGTCGCTGTTCCATCTGCTCCAGGTGCCCCGGCTTCATCTGCTGGCGTTGCTGTTCCATCCGCCCCATCTGCCTGCACTCCTGGTGTTAACTGCCCTCACGGTCACCCCGCCTCTTCTGAGGGTGTTGCTGTCCCATCTGCTCCTGCTACTGGCGCACCAGGTGCCCCGGCTACATCTGCTGGTGTCGCTGTTCCGTCTGCTCCAGGTGCTCCGGTTTCCTCTGCTGGTGTTGCTGTTCCATCCGCTCCATCTGCATGCACTCCCGGTGTCGACTGCGCTCACCCGGCTTCTGTCACCGGAGGCCCAGTAGTCTCCCCCGTGGCAGTTCCCGCCGTCCACAACACCACCGTCTCCGCTGTCAACAGCACTACCTCAACCAGCTCTTCTACCACCTCCCACAGCACCTCCCACAGCACCACCTCCACCATCTCAACCAAGACTACAGCGCACCCAGTGAAGCCCACCGCGACACCTGCCGGAGCCCTCTTTGAGGGTGCCGCGAACAGGGTCCATGGTGCCGCCGGTGTGATGGTTGGATTGATGGTTGCCGGTTTCGTGGCTCTCTTGTAGAGTAGTGTAGTTTAGTGTAGTCTGCTAGTGGTTTTTGTTTTGTTTATTCGTCTATTGGCGTAATGTTTGATGGTGATGTGTTTTTTGGTTTTGGCTTTTGGGTTGAGGAGGGATTTGAGGGGAGGAGGGGAGGGGAGGGTGGTATATGATTTAATTATTATGGCCCGAGGAGGGGCAGGGTTCTTGAATAAATATTTATTTTTGCTTTTTTCGAACATTTTGAACCTTTTGACTTTGAGTTTAATTTGACTTTTGAGGAGTGAGTGGAGGCTTAAAGTCGGAATAATAAAGAATATTTTAATTTGCAAACGAATGTGTTACTCATAACTCTATAGAAATATCCATAACCCCCGTGACTACTACTATATCTAGAACCGCCAGAGATAAAATCTACGAAAAGCATATTCTAGAAAACATCGTCACATGACCGAGTGATACCTCGTGACCAATATTTCAAACCTAGGTTCCAGACAGAGGGAGCCCGAGACGGGCCAATATAATCTCGGGAGTTTGCGATGAGTTCTAAATAGCTATCTATCTAAATCTTCAGACATTATATGATCCTTACATGTACAACGGAAACTCTGCGTAATGACAGGCTCGGCAAAAAGTCGCCAGAGAGCCCAATGCATGCCCCCACCGCATGCGCAGAAAACGTCAGTATTGGTTATTTACTTTGATCTGAGCTGGCGAGTAAGCTTCTTGAGCCTAGAATATGGACAGGAGTTAAGCGTTAGCATGGGTTTTGTACGTTGCATGGGCTTTAGTGCGCGGCCGGGGTTTTGTTTGCTTCGAGGGTTTGTATATCGGACTATTTATAGTGATAGGCGCGAGACAAAACAAGACAAGACTTACCTTCACCTCGCCTCGTCTTGCATCTTGGAATGTGGTTAAAGAGATCTGGAGTAGGTATTGCGCAAAGTCTCGAGACTGTATAAAATCCGAATAGATTTAGGGTTAGGGTTTACACATTCTTTAATTGACCTATGTACGTATGTACATTGCAGGTATTAGATCCGCCGCCTCTCGAGACTGTCTAAAGATAGTTTTGAGAGATCTCATCCGCCTATGGGGCTCATCTTCACTTGTATCGTCCGAAAAAACGAAGTCTCGGGACTTTGTGTCCTGTACCCCATCACGAACTGTTTTCCGTGGCTGTTTTAATTGGAAGAGGCTAGTATGTATGTTTTGGGTGTGTGTATAGAGCTATCTATGGTCTTCTGATAGTTCTGTCTGGGATAAGACTTTATCTCCGCTGGCTTTATTTTGTGAGTCCGGGATGTATTGCGAGTGATAGTCCATGATCTAAATTAGTCGCAGTGTCCCAGGCAGGAAGCAATATCGGAAAATGAGTTGTTGTGGGAGTGTAGTTTACTTGATACGTTAAGGGTTTTTAATGATTCCTGATCTGGGATTAGTGATTAGTTCGCGGCGGCGTGTGGCATGCGCAGCTGGTACATGGTGCCTTTGGGTGTGGACTTGTTTTGTGACTGCTGTGAGTATTTTTTTTTTTTTTTTTTTTTGTTTAATTCATTAATTGTATGCAGCCCGTAGTAGTCTATGACAATATCACACTACCCCGGAACTTCCCAATCACTTCCTCCACCTCTCACAACACGAACCAAAATAAAACAAAACAAAACACAAATAACAAAACAAACCCAACTCTCAAGCTAGTAACTTATAACATAAGGAAAGTAACTTCTGAACAATTTATAATTTCACGGGCTGTCCTGCAGACCGCCCCAGCCCATTTCCATTTCTCTGGCTTCTTCTTCTCTGTCTTCGTCTCTCCCTCCTCTGCCATGTCGCCATTTCGTAAATTGCTTCCAAATTACTGCTGTGAGTACGTGTTGATGGTGGGCGTTAATTGGTGGCGGAGAGAGAAGGTGGCGATGGGGGGAGAGGCTTCTCTATGGCGGATACAGTTATCCAGGGAAGTTGGGTAGCTAGATATATTTAGGGATATGTATTTCAAAGCCTTGGACGGTGTTGATCTTCACTGCATACAATTAATGAAGTAATCAATCAATCAATCAATCAATCAATTGATCATATCTTCACTGCGGAATTTGGACTACAGTAATTTAGGCTACGGTTTTAATATCCTTGGCAAATTTAACAAGTTTTCGATGGCCCTGGCCTGGGCCCAAACCGGTAGAAGATAGCAGATATAGCTAGATATCGAACGAAACCCATGATAACCATCCACCCATCCACCCGTCCAACCACCAGACGAGCACTATGAATGCAAAGTAAGCGGGAGTAGCGACTCCGCTGCCCCGTATACTCATGATCGATCTGCAGGAGAAACGCTATCTAGCCGGGGGTCGGGTATCCCCTATCTTGAAGACCTCGAGGGGGATTGTACGGTAGCCATACATCTATTCATAGGTGTTTGAACATCCCCAGCTCCCCCCACCCCCACCTCCTCCTGTGGACACAGGTAAGAATCTGCCTTATACCCTTGACACCATGGCTATATAGAGGTTATATCACGCGGAGGAGATGGGTATACAACACGTTACATTCCCTACGGGGCAGTATTTGGCCTGTTTCATGTCCCAGCCGGGTGCTTACTTCGGTTTGTCGTTCCGCTGAGGTTGAGCAGGATGGATCGACTGGGCAAGAGGGACCGACCGGACAAGAGGGACTGAGATGTGATGCTGTGAAAGGCTCCCATATATATTAGGATGCATTCGGGTGTTAGTCGAAGCGAAACCGGCTCTGAAGCGGTAGACTGTGGTTGGTTAATGATTGGCTTATGTCTCTTGGGGGCGGTGCTACCTGAGCGAATCACATTTTACACGCGTACGGAGTGGTGTTGAACCCCTTTCGTGCCACGGATGCTTAGTTCTGTCTCTGGGTCGGTTTGGGAGATGTGGGGGTTAGTTGAAGAGGGTTTGTGTGAAATGGTATAGCTGGTATGGTATAGATGTGTTGATAATGATGATGTTTTAGTTGACTCTCCATTCGAGAGGCATTAATGCCAGTCGAGGTGAAACTGTTGTTTGCGACAACTCATTGCTTGTTGTTGATTTGTCAACGTTTCATTCTGTAGTTTAGATGTGGCCTTATACTAAAGCTATATCTGTACTTTTGTCTGTAGAGAAAGCTGACCTCTAAACTGTAACTATAAGTTCAGGGATAGCTTTCTCCCCCTAGAGTTTCTTTGTTTCAATTCATACGTTCTTACACACGATTGACTTTGTCCATAGGCTCTCACCTGCTTTAGATCTATAGATCTCAGTCACAATAAAAGGAACTGGACTAAACTGGACTGAAGTGGCCCTGCCCGAATGAAGCTGGCGGGAAAGTATTGGGGGATCCTGTGGGGGTTGATTGATGGATCAATTTATCTTCTCTGCGCCGCCTAACAGCTTTCAAAGCGCTGGAATACAATAAGAAGGAGCGACGTATGTGGCCGCGGGTACCTTCAAGGATATAAGTCATGCGCCTTGCCTGGTATACGTATGAGATTGATAATATTGGGGTTGACATTGGGGGTTGATCAATTGATTGTTCCAGAAATGATCCCAGGGATGAGGCGGAGTACGAATCTTTCCCATACTTGCTCCTGCCACAATAGACGATAACGTGCTGAGATATTTAGAGTTCAGAAATACCCGCCTCGTCAATTCCCAAAGTCAAACAGAATAGGTAATACTACGGGGTTTACTGGCGAGTGATATCCCATGATTCCACCAAACTGCGTGCTAAACATATCGAGCCAGTCATTCTCCAGCGCCGCCTTTGGTTCATTACCTGACACCGAAAGGGAACTTTCACTGTCTTACAAACTCTTCCTCCTCTGCAATGAGGCTCACATAATACCGTGTCACATCGACTGTGGCTGAAATAAGGCTCTCTCGCTTTCTCTCTCACGAACCCCAATCCCATCATCTTCTTCTTCACAGGGTTAAAGCATGTCCTATGAACTCTATGTATGTTACAATCGATTAAGGTGGCCGCTTAAGCTTTCACCCCTGTACAGGGACATCCTGGATAGGGATACTATATCGGCGATCCGGGCTCCGGAATAACGTTACCACGCACACTCGCCTATCCTACCAATCACGCATGTTCCAGGTCCCAAAAAGTAGCGATTGCTTTTTCTGTGTCGGAGGCTCCGAATAACCATCCAACGTGGGGAGAGGACGAAAGAAAAAAATCGAAAAGGAAAAAAATACTGCCTTGGAGTGCAAATGCACCCAGTGCAAAAGTGCGATGGGGATTATTTTCCCTCATCGTCGTTTACGGCCGCCCAATCGCTGGCCAGGAGAAAAAGACGTTGCACCGGGGCTGGGCAACTGTGCTCGGCGGAGAGTAAGGCCGAGTCTTGGCAGGTCATCGGAAAATTACTATTATGGGAAGCATCTATATGTAAGCGTATGTCTACGCACAGGCCAGGGTTCTGAAAAGAGTATGTAGTTGCAACGCTAGCGAGCTTGTAGAGAATTTATTACGTAGGTGTCGTCATGGGATATCGTATGAGGGTACCGAAAGTAAGCTTCTTTTTCTTTGGGAGTATCTACATGCATTCCTTGCATTCCTCTTCTTCTTCTATACATATTCCACACAGCAGTCCTGAGTGACTCAACAGCCGGGAAGACCGCCCGTTTCACAAAGCCACCGCTGTAGTACCACCTGCTCTCAAGAACAATTGACCGTATGTGCTATCCCCCCCCTCCCCCCCAAAAAAAAACAAAAGAAAAAAAATCTGCAGGGCTTGCTTGCAATGGTCAGGATGATGTTATCTGATAGCTGTTTCGAGTACGTCTAGCAGGGTGCGGGTACGGGTGCTCTTCCTAAGTTCCTACGCTGCCCGTACGTGCCTCTGAGTAATCGTTCTCAAGTGTATGGATGGATATGAAAATACTCCCAATCAACTAGCAACAACCTCAAAGAGGAAAGCAGAAAGGTGCACCTCATCAGCAAGGCGTCGTTGTCGTCGTCTGCCAGCCAGAATAGAAACAGGGCCACAAAGATAATGCCACAGGATAGATGAACAGTTGATCGAACATGTATTCGAAAGAGGCTGCGCTGTATGTGTAACCTGCAGTACGTACTACAATCCCTCACCACTACCACCGCCCCCCCCCCCCCCCCTTTCCCCCTCAACCCCAATGCGATAACTACGGCTAGTTTGTTAACCCCATGTCCACCAGGAAGCGAGCGAGAGCTTCGCCCAGTAAATTGGGCATGTCAAACAACATGCACTTTTCCCCTCCCCTCCCTGGCACAACATCCCCGCCAGCAAATAAGCATACAGCGGGCAGCCAGAAAGAAAAAAAAAGAAAACCACCAAGGTTGTGGTGTGTGCATGTATGTACCTACTATGGACGCGTCATACAATTTCCCGGGGTACTGCTGGGTTTCGTATTCACGAAACCTTATTATAGGTGGTCAAAGGAGGAGCCTTGGCTGGGGTTCTGGAGCCCGGATTTTCAGGTGGAACACTGCCCGATTGGAGGCGAGGAAGGGAAGCGACGGTGATACATAAAGAGCTTGGAGGAATCTACTTTGGTTCCGAAGTACTCAGAGTCGATAAATAATCACATCACAAGCTTCTTCTTCTTGCAATTATAAGAGGCTCCCAGCTTAATTAGTCACTTGGACTTTTATATATATATACACCGCAATCCCTCAAGATCAAGAGCTACAACCACCAGTCTTGATATCCGCCCTCAACATGTCGCACACTAGCCTGAACGGCACGACCATAGATCCAAAGGACTGCACGTTCGAGACCTGCTCGATCGAGGACTCATACTTCGACTACCGGCCCTCACTCGCGCTCAACAGCCTGCTCCTTGCGCTGTTTGGGCTCTCCGCGGTGCTGTACCTCATCCAGGGCATCCGCTACAAGACATGGAGCTTCCTCGCTGTGATGCTGCTGGGAAATATTGGGGAGATCATTGGCTATGGTGGGCGAATCTGGGGATATAATAATCCTTTTACAATGGACCCCGTAAGTAGCACATACTACACTATATATCTCTAACGATATTGAATATCCAATACTAACGTACCCACCAGTTCTTGATCCAAATCTGCTGCCTCACCTTCGCACCCGCCTTCCTGGCCGCTGGCATCTACCTCTGCCTCTCCCGGATGTAAGCATTTCTCTCTTCTCCCTTCTGTTCACCAGACTACAATACTAACCCCCCACTCCAGAGTCATCATCTTCGGCGCCGACATCTCCCGCATCCCCCCCAAAGCCTACACCTGGCTCTTCGTCAGCTGCGATTTCATCTCCCTCGTCCTGCAAGCCGCCGGCGGCGGCATCGCCTCAGTGACCTCGCAAGACGGCAAGTCCCCCACCCTCGGCACAAACATCATGATCACTGGCCTGGCCTTCCAGGTGTTCACACTGGCGCTCTTCATGCTCCTGTGCGCCGAGTACGCGCTGCGCGTGGTGCGGCGCCAGGGCAGCCTCGACCCCACTCACGCGAAGCTCCGGGCCAGCCGTAAGTTCCGCGGCTTCTTGTGCGCGCTGGCGCTGAGTACGACATTCATCATGATTAGGAGCGTGTATCGGGTGATTGAGATGGCGCAGGGTTGGAGCGGCGCGCTGATGGCGGATGAGACGCTGTTCTTTATATTGGAGGGGGTCATGGTGGTGTGTGCGGTGGGGGCGCTGAATGTGTTCCATCCGGGGTGGTGTTTTGGGGAGGGGTATAGGGTTACGGAGAAGAGCGCGGAGGAGGAGTCGATTTGAGTGGGTGTTAGAGTAGTGGGTGGGACTTGAGGTTTTGGTTTTGGGTTGGGGTAATGGGATTTTTGATGATGGTGATGGTCGGTGATCGGGATTATAGATTTCATCATCTTTTTTCTTTTTCTCTTTTTTATTTCCTCTTTTTCATATTCTGTTTTTCATTTTGTCTCTTTTCATCTCATATTTTCTGGCGTTATTGTCACCATTCAAAAACCATCCATCCATCCCATTTGTCACTTCCTTTGCCCTACCTCTCCGTATTCCTACATTTTTTTTCATTTCTCAGTGTATAGAAAAAAACGCAACATGTACCTGTACTTAGATTTTAGCCATCCAATCCACAACTAATACACTGACCACCCGTCCCTTCGCCCGTCCCTCCGCCCATCCATCCATCCATCAAGTTTAGAGCCAATGATTACAAACCCCCAAAACCCCTTCGGCCCGCGCGCCACGTATAAAAACACCGGGCCCCCGGCGGCCGACGAAAAGTATTAGTTATACGCAGGGCCAGCCCCCACGGGGCTGTACTGTGCTGTGTGGTTTGATTGTTATTGACTGATTGATTGGCTGGGTATGGTGTGCTAGGAATGTGGGTTGGCGATATCGATAATGAGGACTAACGATTTGGATCGACGGGCGCCGGTGTCGCGGGTTTGGCAGGGTTTGGGTTGGTGGCTGGTGGGGACAGGGTTTGGTTGGTTGGTTGGTAATTGGTGGGGGCGGGGGTGGGTCATGGGGTGTCACTCGGTTGTTTTTTGTTGGAGGCGGGTTGGGTCATGGGTTGTGATTCGGTTGTGGTTGGGTTGGGGTGTTTATTATGGTGATTGTTTGTTTCGTATTTCATTGATAGCGGTGATAGTAAATGACCTTGAAAGTTATTAACAGCTGTTGCTGTAATTTATGTATCATGTCCGTGTCTACTATATCCTATCCTACAAATGACAATTAATGAATTATCAACTAATCAATCATATCCTACAAAGGAGGCTCCTTCCTCGACACTTTTGTCCCAACCATAAACCAAATTAAACCCATAACAACCACCACATCCCAAAAGAAAAACCAATACCGCCCTAGGTATATACAATCGTGATATTTATACAATTAAAAAAAAGAGAAAGAACAAAACCTATAAATCGTGTCCTCATTAAATTTGTCGTTTGACGTGTGCCTCCGCTGCATGCATCATTTCCATCCTCTCCTGCACACTCCTTTGTATCTCCAGTTGAAGTTGTCCCGACCCATGCGACTCCCATGTTCCCCTCTCCTCCACACCCACATTCTCTGGTACTCTCTCCCTTTCCCTTTCCCTTTCCCTTTCCCTTTCTCTTTCCCTTTCCCTTTCCCTTTCCCTTTCCCTTTCCCTTTCCCTTTCCCTTTCCCTTTCCCTTTCCCTTTCCCTCCCCCTCCCCCTCCCCATTTCCATCCCCCCCTCCCTTTCCATCGCCCCCTCACGTTCCCCTTCTCCCTCGTCGCTTCCCTCGTACCTGAGACTATCCATCGTGCTCCCGGATCCATTCCTTCCTCTCGATCCCTGCCCTCTCTCGTTATCGCTTCCTGGAAACAACCCGATCTCCTCCACAAACCTGATAATCTCAGCCTGTACACTGATAATCCCGCCTCCTAGAGAATACTGTAGCGCGTCCTCCTCCTGCTCCGGTCCAGATGGTGAATGCTGTCCTCTCCATACATTCAGGCCCCTGCTAATACAGGGGTCGATAAATGCCATCAGAGCATAGAATATCCCACGGCCGCCGTAGAAAGCGTAGTATACGACGTCTGTGGCTTGTAAGTAAGTGTAAATAGATACCGGAAGGGAATGAGGAACGAACAAAGGTTATAGTCATATTGTGTGTATATTCCCTCGGCGGTGGAGATGCGGAGATCTGCGACGGTTATGAACTGACGTGTTTGTTAGTCGGTTGATTTTCCTATGGCGGAAGCAGTGAGGCACATACAAAGTTGAGGACTGTCATTACGATTGGGTATATTGCTATCAACATGTGTTAGTGTGTAAACTGGAAGTGAACAAGAAGTGAAAGGGAAATTACAAATCCTGAAAACGACACTTCTGAAACTCTTATCATTTGATAAATTCCTACTTGCCAACCTCGTAGCATTGCTCCTCAATGGATTTCCCCTTGTATCTAGCATTGGAATGCTTCGAAACCTCCCGGACGCGGACGCCGTGGAGGAAGAGCCCAATGTCCCCTTGCCCGGAAACTCCCTAGTTAGACAGCGAAATATTGAAGAGGATGTGAATGATTGCACGTACTTTGTGTTTATACAAATAAGTTAAAGTAATCGCCGCACTCACACCCGTTATCGCCACTGCAAGTAAAATCCAAAATATCTGCGTACTAATTTGCCATATCAAGCGATCACGCTTGTTGGTGGAAGTGAGCCAGCAAACACCTATTACATGGTCCCAACCAAGCTTTCCCTTTATGACTGTCCCCGTTTGGCGTTAGTGAAATTGTTCTGATAATTCGGCTGGTGAAATAAACATACGTGGTGGTAGAGTGATAGCAAGGTTGAGAGCGAAAGTGCCAATGATGTAATATTTTTCGAGTGCTAGGACGTTGACAGAATGTACAAGAACGAGTTGGAGGTTGAGCGCAATGCAGAGGATAAAGTAGTTGGTTATACCTGCAGAAAATTATTAGGAAGTGTCATGTGGTTAGAGGGAGGAGTCCATACCAAGCCAAAACTGGATCAACCACACACCGGCAACTAAATTATTACTTTTAGTTATTTATGCAAGTCTTATCGTGGCATGGTGGTACAGATCAACTAACCACACCAGAACTGCAAACAAGATAATCAGCAACCGACTTGAATATCTATTGGGAGGAGTTTCACATAGACTTACACCTGGATTAACTTTAACACAAATTATATATCCAATCGAATAAACACAACTGCGACTATTTAGCTACCTGTGCCCTGCACTCCCGAGACTACTTTACCTACTTTGATAGCAGCGCATACATCAATAATCGAAACGATAATCGGTCCAGTGATTTTCTTGACTCCCGGTTGGAATATATTAATCCTACAATTCCCAGCACAATCAAACATAGCAGAAGCGATACGCCGGCTAGAATTGCGCTCATGTTGTTCTGCCCATGGGGTTGATTAGTTTCAATTCCGGCACAAATACGAATCTCGCCCCCCACTTACCATGGCAAGTACTCGATGAGGCGTAAGAAAGCTTGTTGGTGTGGGTATTGGGGCCCTGGTTGTTGACATCGCGACTGTCGGGGGCGAAGAAATTAGCAAGCTAGGGTAGCTAGGTAGCTAGATAGCTGGGCGGAAGGGGGGGGGGGGGGGGGGGGGAAGCTAAAACGAAGTAAAACGAACAACCAGAACACGAGAAGCGAACCACAGGAAAACTTTATTGAGAAGGCGAGGTGAGGTGAGGGAAAAAAAAAGTGGGAGCACGACCTAGATGTCGTTCATTACGATTGAGCCCCCCCACTATTACCCCCTTGGCTGTGGAACCGTTGTGGACTCATCCTGGAATATTGGCTTCTCGCGTGGCCTGAACCTATCAGGGATCACCGCTCACAGGCTGAGGTGATGTTTAGGGCTGGAATGTTAACTACCAATACAGATCGGGTACAACTACGTGGCTGCATAGAAGCTTGTTCTCTGCCGCAAGGGTTTTGTAGATTGAGTTTGATATATCTTGTATTCTTCATACTTTGACGAAATATTTCGGCCAAGCAACAATACAACAAACTCAAAAACTCGTAGATAGGGAGGGTCCAGTGCAAAATGATCTGAATCGGCCTGTGAACCAATCGCGCGGATGCGTGCTCTACGCACAGGAGTGACGCCTGCGGGCGCTAGAAGGTTTTTAAAACCCGCGCTTGCGGCGCCCTAACTGTGGTTATTTGGAAGGCTGGACATTTATATGGTGCGCGCCATGCATGGAAAGTGTTGGTGGAAAGATAGGAAAGCAATGAGGTCCACCGAAACGTTCACCCTTGACTCAGTTTCTTGAGGCTGAAAGTTGCATGAAGCGCAGGAACAGCCAGTCAAAACATGATGAATCGCCAAGTAAAACACCAACGTCCCCGCATAAAAAGTCTCGGTAATGCAAAGCTCCGTGTGGAGATCAAAAATTTAATTCCCGATTATTATCCCGGGGGCATTCGGGGATATTACCGCCGCCTTCAGTTCAGTCCTTCGGATGGCGGTTCTTTTTCCCTTTGCTCGCTTGCCCAAATGCCTCTCTGGGTGGCAATTTGCGTGCCGTGTGCTTCGCGAAGGTATTAATTCCCTAATGTGCCCTAGATTCTAGAAGGTCCAGTACTGCAGATCTGGAGCTCACTCCTGATGAGGATGTTGATTCAGAGCATGTTGGAAACCGGGGTTTCCATCCTTTTGCGGTTTCTGGAAAGGAATCTCAGCATGATACACTGAAAACGTGTATGATACCATACCCACGGACAAACGGGCGCTTGATACGCCCAGAGGTTCGTGATGCGTATTTAACTAGAGTACATTAGTTTGTTTACTAGAAGAAACCGCCAATCAGGATCAGCATAGCACACACGATAGGTCTGCGACAAGACTTCACCGCAAGATCGGCATTTAGGAGTTGAGAAGATTAGATGAAGATAGGAGGACACTCATACCCTGCCCACAAAAGAAGGGGCAGTTAATCAATTTGATGAGCATGAATTATGAACGGTGGTAACAACTTGATGAATGTGATCGAGAATGTTAGGCTTATCTCCTTAACTTTATTCTGAGCGAGATATCAGGTTGAACTAACACGTTGTGATACAAACATTATACTTCGCGGCTCGTTGTCAACTACATGTATGTATATACATGCATACTTGTACGCTTGCCGACTTAATCCTCCTCATATCCTTCCTTCTCTTCTCTACCATCAATTGATTTTCAGAAACAGCTCCATATGAGCTCCAATTGCAAGTGAGCGTAGGCCATCACCTGGCGCGCCGCTACCGATGGTAAGTTCTGTTCTGTCAATCAATACTCTCTATACCTATTCTACAATTCTTTGAAGGTTTATAACCCATTTCATCGTTTAAATTGACTATATGTAGTAATTAGGAACCTCTGGATTCAAAAGGCCTTTCTCATAGAGGTCATTGTCTAAGGTAGGCCAGCTTAGTGATGACCACGAGACAAGGCATCTTGAGCTCTTGTCTGGAGACTTGCCTACAAGACCTGGCAATACAGCGATTATGGAAGGACAAATATCCCGAGACGAGTCTGGGGTTGGTCTCGAAAGATATAATGCAAGACTTTGCCACTACTGATTTAGTCCCTACAGATCTAATATTGGGTGATCCATTCTCCAAAATCTTGAAGTCTATGGATCACGTGATGATACCCCTGCTAAACTCAAATATTCTCTCAATTGAAGCCGTTTAGTACTTAGTGCTATTGAATACGAGACCACAATTATTTCGCGGGACTCTCGAGACATCTCGAGACTCCCGAGACCTATTCCTCACCAACAGGACACGAGACGAAACAACTGTCAATCTGGTCTCGTCTTGTCTCGTGGCCATCACTAGGCCAGCTTTGGTAAATTCTAGATATTATGGTTTTACTCATCACAATGATATCAGATCTGGAACTTCATGCACGGGATGTCAGCTGCGTTTTGGTGAAACCGAGCCCCCATCTTTGAGTCTTCACGAGCTAAGCGGTATTTAGTCCCTTGAGTGTCTTTCACTGGGGATAACTAGGCTGAATTCACAACGAACTACTGAAATAAGCATTAAGTTTTGCAATTTTAATTCTCTACTGAGCGCACAGACAAGCAATTCTATCGATCTAAACCCTTTATCGCATAACTCCAACTCACAATCAATCAATTGCAAACGACTCGACTAATCACTTAGCCAAATATTGCCAATCAGCCTAGCTCTGCATCGGCATATCCATCGCGACCATCTTCGTAAAACACACCAGCACCCAAGTCACTATCGCCATCCCCATCGGCTTGCTCTCGAACGGCACCTCAATATCCTGCCCCCATCCCGACAAGTGCTTCACCTCCATCTCGCCGTCCTCCTTCAACCTCACTACTAAAAGGTTATCAACATTCAATTTGTGGCCTTTAATACTCAACATCCATTGGTTCAAACTCATCCAATTCAACTTCGCAAAGGTTTCCTCGTCGTACTTGATATGATACCCCGAGTCCCCATGATTAACACCATGCGGGATCACCGCCGCCAACTCCATCACCGACATCCTGCACAGCGGACATGCGAATGCTCCTGATCTCTTCGCGGCAGGGCTAGAACCTAGTGCCACTGTGCACTCAATGCAGAATGCATGGCAGCACTCACGGAACATCACTTCTGGCTTCGTGCCATCGATGCAGATGGGGCACTGGAGCGTCTCATGTACCTTCTCCGGCACTGGCGTGATCTGCTCTTCCCATTTCCTAACGGCCCTTATGCCGCGTGGTAGGTTAATAGCCTTTTCGCGGATGTTGATGAGGCCGGGATTGAAGACGTCAAAGTGGAGTTCGTGCCGGTTGAAGAGGGTGCGTATGCTGATGGTGTCGCAGCTGGGGAGGCCGGGGTTGTCGATGAGTTCGTCCCGTGAGCGGGGGATGATGACGGTGTTGTTGTGGCAGTCCCAGAGGAAGGTAATGGCAGGAGCCTTGGTAGGCCCTAGAACATTCTCAGGCGCGCTGGGAATGACGAAGAGATCGTCGTGGCTGGCGTAGAAATTGGTTGATGTAGACATGTTTCTGGTTGTAGTAGTAGTGGTAAGTATGGTAAGTGTGGTGTTGTTTGTGTGGTAGTAAACTGTGAGTGTGATGAGTGTGATGATTATGTTCCTACAGCTCTATATAAGCTTTATATACTGGAATAGATAATTCAAGTTCCTGAGTTTCAAGCTCCCTTCGTTTCATGGTTAAGCATTTTGAACTTGAAACTAGGTTTCAAGGTGGTTCACGAACGATCACTCGCTGTAGGTTTCAAGTTCGTAAGCAGCACACATCCACCCTTGGCAACGACTCTAAAATGGCTATATTTGGATATCGTCTTTCAAGAGACTTGAAAACCGACCTACCAAAGGTAATTAGCTACTGCCACAACTTAGAAACGATCCCAGATTTCGATATTCCTCTCTCCCATGATCGTTACTCGTTAATCGGCGGCCATGCAATGGCCATGGTAGCAAAAAATACCGTCCTTCGTTGAGTTTACCTTCCCAAGTCCCTTGATCTATCGCGAGCTATAAACTGAGGGCTCTTGCATTCTCGGAATGTTGTGCTTGACGATGCGCATCATGTTATGTCCAGATGGACTATGCTTGATCCATCCTGCGTCATCAGTTCAGTGCTTTTGAAAATCTAGAATGGCGTGCATCAAGCATTAATCGTCTCTTCATATCAGGATTTATCTCGCCGGATAAAACGATCGTGTATGTTAAGAACAATGACTCCAGCATACATACAACCAATCAACACTCCTCCAACTATCTAAAGTGATACCACCACACACACCTCACACCATCAACCCACCGCCGCCCACACACCACCACCACCACTCCGCCCAAGGAAAAAAGATAACTCCCTTCGACCAGAGTCGAACTGGTGACCAACCGGTAAGCAAGCAATTACAGCCGGGTGTGATACCAACTACACCACAAAGGGATGATGGCAACGTCGCGCCGGCTTATTCTCGAGGGAAATTGAAGTGTGGTGTGGTAGGACGGTGTGGTGTGTTTAGGCTGAATGTTTATCCTTGTCGTACTTGGGGGGGGGATGGGTGGTGGATTATGTAATGAGTACGAGTGGGCAATGGGCAATGGGCATAGAATTTTGGTTTCGGTGTAGAGGGCGGTCGGTGGGTTTTGTAAAGGTAGTTTAATTATTGGGGAATGTGAATTAAATTTTGCCTAGTCTGCGGCGCAAAGCTTTTTTTTTTTCGATACTTTGGAACTTTGTCGCAGGCAGCCTATCAGTACATACCTACAGCGTTAGGCAAGCGACAAGTAGCCACCTACTCTCTTCTCTGCCTTACCTCGCCGAAACACAGAGTGGCTACTTTATATCGGTGGCATCAATACCAGCGCCTACACGCCGCGATAGACCCACACTTGAAGCAAGCAGCGGGCTTAGGTTTAGGTTTAGGTTTGGATTTGGGTTGCACGTTGTGGGGAAGGGCGTGTTGTGTGCGGGATCGAGCATGGTGTATCACTCGTAAACAAGCACCGGTCCGCATGCCATCTGACACTGGCTGGATACATGTAGGTGTGTGCGTGTGGGTATAGGTGGTGTATTATTTTTTTTCAGAGTAGTTTTAGGTGTGGACCATTCAGCCTCGATTTTGACTTCAACCGTGCTTCTTTGTGATAATACTTTTCACAAACAGCCCAAAACACCCTCCCAACCCCGCCAACCCATGCCAACACAAAGTATCACTCGCATCTGACACACATTTCCCCCTGTTTCAAGACCAATTGAGTCAACGACAAGGACAAGCCCAGGGTTAGGGTTGTGTATAGTACCGTGGTTGCTTTTTGCCAGTGCATCGGTGTCTGACTCGGAGCGGGAATTTAGAGTTTTTTTGACTCGGAGGTGCCTTATAATCAGATGACGCATATTTGTGGAGCAACGAGTAACAAGTAACGAGTAACGAGTCATGTATTTATTTATTTGTTGGGATGACAGCTGCTGAAGCGCGGAAGATGGTGATATGGTGATATGGTAGCAGCACAGCTCTTTGGAGGGAGAGAGGAGGAGAGCTTTGCATGGACGATGTCAGCTGAGCTTGGAGCTTCTTTCTGATGGGTGATGCGTGATGGATGAAACCAATGCTCCGCGACGACGTGAAACAAAGACATGCTGTTTAACTCATCCGAGACACCGTTGAACGTAATGACAATTCCATTATCCCACTGGTCCAGTCAGACACAGACGTCGCGCCGATTCATTCCTAACCGTCTGGGCGCTGCTGATGGGAAGAAGAAAACACTGATTCAGCCACATACGTCAGGTCGTCTCGAGGATTCGCGGGGTCGATGGCGACATTGAAAAGTGCACTTATCGGTTGGGTCGTGAATTTCTTGATCGAGGTTGCGCCGGGAAGAGCTAGGGAGATCTCGAGGAAGAAGATGAGGGATGTGAGGGAGGACAAACACGGCTCAGCCCTAGCTAGCTACCCACATGCATGTATCAAGGATGCTGAAGAATTAAGAGGGCGCAGAGGGAGAAGAGGAATTGGGTTCGGTCTCTCTGTCTCGCGATGGGCAATTGAAGCTATTCGGTCGATTGGAATTGGGCTCTGCTTCTTTTCGCCCTTGTATCGTCTGCTGCTGTGAATGGCCCCCCTGTGCAGCGACCTTGCATGACGTCGACGGCGTCCGGATGCGGGCGGGTGAATCCTCTCTTTTGCTTTTGCTTTGGCTTTGATTTGCTGCAACTGCACAAAGCCAAATGAAAACTTGAAAAAAAAGCCGGGAGAAAGTGGACAAAGGGAAAAAAGACACAGACGGGCAGGGCAGGCAGACAGGTGAAGTGAAACGCTTCCTCTTCTTCCTCTTTCCTCTTCTCCGTCTCTATCTCCATCATCGTCATCACCGTCTTCTTCATCATCGTCTGTCATCCGTCATCTATCATCACCATCTATCATCCGTCATCAATCATCAACTGCCATCCATCTACACACAGGTCTGTCTGTCTGTCTGCCTGTCTGTCTCTCAATCCCTCTCTCTCTCCATTCTCTCCAACACAGACAGCTTCTCTAACCCCTCGCTCTCTTAATCTATCCCACTAACTGATCCCAGCCCTGCAGATCCTCCCTCCCCTTTCGTGAACCCGGTAAACCAGCCAACCACCGAACACACAGACACACGATCCGATCCACAAAAACAAAATAAAAAAACCCACACAAACAATGTACCACCGCCGCCGGCGCGCCCACTCCACTCCAACGGAGCCCTCCGCATCCGCCCTAATCGCTGCGTCCACCGTCTACAACCCCTGCACCCCCCCCCAACCACCGACGCTCGCCGCCGCCGCCGCCGGTGCAGCGCTCCGCCATGCCGCGCCCTCGCCAACGCCAATTGGCAGCATCCCAACCAAGCGCATGCTGAAGCGACGCGACAGCTACTCCTCCGCCAGCGACAGCAGGCCCGGAGTGCAACGGACCAACAGCACGGGCAGTCTTACAGAACGGAGGTTTCGTAAAGAGAGAGGCCCCGGAAGCGTCAGTAGCCGACGGGGGAGCATTGACACGGGAAGCAGAAAGGCCAGCGTCGATATCGGGCGACGGGCAAGTACTGGCGGTAGTAGCAGCAGGTTTACCAGTAACGGGAGCTCCCCGCCGCGCCACGGCACTCCACGACCGCTAGCGAGGAAAGTTACGGCCTACCATGAGGAAGACAGCAGCGAGGACTATCCGGCCGATGATGACAGCGACCTGCCATTGCCCATGCCGCCGCGGTCGCCGTCGCTCTTGTCGTTCCCCTCGACGCTGCGAAATAGCCCGAGTAACGGAAGTGCCAGCAAGCGGGTAAAGAAGCAATTCACCCGCCCCCGCGACACATCATCGTCCTCTTCCGACCACGACCGCCGCCGCTACTCCCTCGACTACGCCGACTCCTCCGCCTCCCTCGAATCCATTGCGGAAGATTCCGCGCTGCCGCAACCCGCACCGCACGCCCCACTACACCCAAAGATCCTCGAAGAATGCGAGTCCTCTTCCGACGACGGTACCCGGAGTAAAAGGACGCTCCTGTCCCTGCCGAGGCATAACCCACCAGCACGCTCCGCCTCGCCCGCAAAATCATCACTAAAGCACACCTCCTCACTCTCCAAGGCCCGCGTCAGCTTCAGCGACGAAGACTCCATCGCCAGCTTCTCGCCCTACACCCGCGCGCCGCTGCTCCTCGACGACGGCCCGCGGCACCTCCCCATGTTCGGCATCGGCGGCATCACGGCGCCGTCGCCGCCGCCAAGCGACTCCAGCCAGGAGAGCATCATCGGCCTCGAGAGCGCGCTGCGATATCCGAAGGGACAGCCGCCGCTGGGCGCCGGGAGCGCGGTCAAGAAGCTACTCAGTGAGGGATCGCGGCCGCCGCCACTGGGCGGGAGGAAGACCTCGGCGAGCGATGACGTAAGGAGATTGAGGGTGGGGCCGCTGACGCCGCCGGGGACTCGGTCGGGCGTTCCTGTGCCGGAGGTTAGGGTTTTGGCAGCGACACCGGGGGAGGAGCGCGAGATGGTGATGCCGGCGCAGGTGCTGTATGATAGCGAGAGCGGGAGCGACAGCGACAGCGGGGAGAGTATATACTCGGATGCATACGAGGACTTTACTATGCCATCAACCTCATTCGGCGGGGCAATGCCGGGGATCCTCGAGATTGCACCTCCCCCTCCACCACCGCCGCCTGTACCTGTACCAAGATCCCCACCACCACCAACAACCGCCCCCGCCCCCGCGCCCGCACCGCCACAGCCAAAATCCCAGCCAGACGATCCCCCCCTCGCACCAGACTTCCTCTCCCCGCGCAACCGCCCCTCACCACCAGCACCAACAAACACACTGACCCGCACCCCCTCCGCCACATCCTCCATCTCCACAACATCCACATCCTCCTTCCGCCGCCTCACGCCCCGCGCCCGCTCCCGGCCGGCCTCGCACCTGCTCACAACGATGCGCACACACCCGCACACCGCGCCGCCGGCGTCGCTGAAGACTTCGCTGCGTGCGGGCGGCGGCGGCGGGCATGTGAGAACGCACTCGAGGTTCTCGACGGACTCGGATCTGCCCGTTGTGGGTGTGGGGGCGGGGGGAGGTGTGGGGGAGGTGTATGGGATGGGCAGGGAGAGGGCGGGGAGTGAGGGGACGGTGAAGAGACGGAAGGGGGGGTTTTGGGGGTTCTTGAAGAGGAGTGGTGGAGGGGGGAAGTCGAGGAGGAGGAGTGTGGCGGTGGGGGGTGGGGAGAAGGAATTTGGGGTGGGGGCGGGGATGGGGATGGGACCGGGGGTGGTGGATACGAGGGGTGTGGGGACCGGATTGGGAGGGATGGGCGCGGGGATGGAGGCAGGGAAGGGGAAGAGGAAGAGGTTGTGGAAGGTGAGGAGGTTGCTGGGGTTGAAGTAGTGCTGTGGGGGTTTTTAGGTTTTTTCTTTTTAGGTTTTTTAGGTTCCTTTGCTGTGCTTTCTTTTTTGTCGTTTCCTTTTTTTTTGTCTTGTCCATATAAAACGGGGACTATATAGAGGACTTTTTTCTGGCTTTTTCCCTCCTGTTCTTCGGGGGTTGTATTACTAGGTGACTATTTGCATCTCTTCTCTTCTTTCTTATTCTTCTCTTCCCTTCTTCTTCTTCTCCCCTTCTTTACTTCTTTTTTGTATCTTTTCTCTTTTCTCTTTTTCTCTTTCTCGTTTCTTTTCGTTTATCGGGAACACGAGTACCTAAACCGCAGTACGACGTATATAATGGAACGGACGGGATGGTATATGAGCGGATGGTGTATGTATGATAGTTATGTAGTCAGGTATCGATAGACTGAGTCGTGGGGGTAATATAGAACGGCATTGCATATTTCATACTGGCTGTCGTTCGTACCTTGGAACAGAAACGGAGACGAGACGAGGCGTCCGTTTGATGGCCTGGAGTTGAGTTGTTATGTGTTCGGGCCCAAGCAGGGCGGCGGGCCGTTGGTGAACCCGGGTGGTGTCCTGGCCGCCCGGGGTTCGCTGGTTGCTCGTTGCAGACTATATATATACCCGCCGCCTGCCCATCTCTACTCACCGCCCATCTACGCCATACAAGCTGCCAAAAAAGAGCACAGCAGATCGCAGCAGACACCGCAAAATGAGTTGACCGCTGACGCCGGGTCGGTTTATGGTAGCCCAACCCAACCTGCCACCAATTATAAGTGCAACTTGAGAAGATTATTTCCGGTAGTCGATAGAGGGGACCCTTTAGGGGGGTTCTGGCACTTCTTTTGGGGCGGAATCACCTTGCATTTTCACCCCCCTATTTATGTGGGTCATGGTTTATCACTCGACCCGTGGATTATCCGGGGAACTATTTGCTTGTACTGGACCTGGTACGCTCGTCGTTTTATTTTGGGGTTACATGGTGTAATAGTAGGCATTTTAAACAGGTTGATGCGGGTGGCACATCACCTGTTGTGGTGGGCCACCCCGGATTATCGACGTAGAAGGTCTTGAAAGGTCGTGAGTCTATGGCTTACTTCAATCTATGAAGGCCGCCCCCCCCGCGCATCATACAGATGGAGTAAATCCGAGTAAGGTGTGAGATTGTTTTAGGCAGAGTATTTTTGTTTGGCCCGAGATCGAGTGATATCTCATGATACAACTGACTTGCATATACTTGCGGCTTTTGATTGACCGAGTACTTCATTAATATATTCTTGCGGCGAGAATACGTTTCTGCCAAGCTTGTGCGAGAAAAAAAAAACATAGTGGTGGTGGCGGAAAACTAATTCTCCCGATAAATATAAATGGCTGCATGGCCCCGGAGTTCTTATTCCCACCGACCTCTAGATCTACCAGGGTTAGGCTTATTTTTCGAATGCCATTGCGGCACCCAGATCTCCACGGAGATAAACATAACACTGGCGGGTCTCGTCACGGTTTAGAGGCTAATAGGAATAGGAGGGCCCGATCCGTAGTGTCTTTTGATAGAATGCTAGCAATACCGGCTGGAATTCCGGTCGCGTGGGGATATATCTAGAGAGCAGCAAAGGGCATACCAGTCTCTACTCTCACCTACCTTGTTTTTACCTACACCTGACCGAAATTCCAGGCGGCATCACTATGTAGTAGGTGTTTCGTACACTTTCCTAGACGGACAGCAATCCTAGTCTTAGGCGGGTTAGAGTGGCTATACCTACCGCACTTACCTGGTGGTGTAGTTCTTGAGCCGGGAATATCCATGTTCATGTCCTTGCTCATGGACTGACTGTTATTCTTCTTACCTTTGATTGATTCGCCATAATCGGCAAACGACCCCTCTAGTCACTCGGACACCCCACTTACTCGTACAGTCAATGATTGGTAAAGAAGTGGTATAAAAACCAGAGGTTTTAATAGGCCAGCCCGGGCCGGAAACACGCTTGGACTAGCCCAAGCTCAGAAACCCAACCGGGGCCTGGCCTGGCCCATATATACGGGCCTAATCCCGGGATTTTTTCGATAATTCATATAATCCTAAGAAAGTATATTTGACTGTTTATTGTGGTAAAATCTCATATTTATTCGAAGATTTTCTTTTCATAGAGGGAACTGAGGATTGAAGATGATGGATATTCTTAAAATATGCGCCATTTCAGCCTATATGAATAACCTATAAAGCCCGGGCCTCAATCGCCTTAGGACCCGGCCTGGCCCGACTTCAGATACCCTGGCCCAAGCCTGGCCTGGAAGGGCTGGCCCATATAACCTGAGGCCTATCAAAACCTCTGACAAAAACCAATTAAAACGTCGGTGCTCTCTTTTCTACGCCAACTATCCGAGTGGGAGCGGTGTCCGAACGTACAGCTAGGGAAGTCGTCTATCCTAATTCAGCTCCAGTCCCGTTCCAGCGTCGAGCGTTGTCATAAACGGGGCCTGTTCGGCTGCCAAGATACGCCCGAGTGATCTCGCATGATCGAAATTCCGACTAGTTGGGTATCACATTTGTGATACTTTCGTTCCTTACCTAGCCAGCTAATCACCTACCGAGCGCAAAAGAAGATTCCCACACAAATATCTCTTACACCAGCTCCTTTTTTGCGTGGGAAGTGGGTGCTGCGCTCGGTAGGTGGTGATGGAGAACGAGACTTACCTTTTTCTGCTACCTGATCGGGGTGTGTAGAGAGTACCTCGACAGTGAGGAGCGAGGGGCCCCGTGTTGTGTAGGATATACTATATATCCGCACCTACCTATTCGCATTCTCGTGTGGTTCCGGACCGCTCAATCCTCTCTGAATCGTGACGAGATCCACCAGGGCTGGGCTTGTTCTCGAATGTTTTTGCGCACAACTCCCGAGGAGGTATACATAGCCCTGGCGTAACTCGTCGTAGGTATAAGCGGTACGGGACCGTAGTAGATACTTGGTATAACAGTAGCCGACAGACTCCTCAACGGGTCTTGCTTGGCACGATAGCTCGAGATGGCCTTGTACCTTTCCTACCTCTGACCGGGTGGTGGAGGCGTTGGTCGATATGTGGAAAAATTGATGCCCTAGATGTTCTAGTCTCCTCATAAACGCAATCTCCCCATGAATTTCCCTGAGTGGACTAGTCCATTCAGCTACGGACCAAGTATCAGACCGTTCTTGACTGGCCAGTCCATCGTTCAGAGGATTGAAGTTCATTTACAACCGACTCTCCGCGGTTGAATGAAGATTTCCTCAGGAGCAGTATTTTTCTGCTGATCGCCACTTGACCTACCTGTATACTTTTATCTCCGTGTTGGGAGAATCTTATTCTCCGTGTACTTGTGGTATTCTGCCCCCCTTTTTTTCTTTTTTGTGTTGATCAGGTACAAAGAACTTACCGTTGATCTGCCCCCCACACGGCCCCTCGATCGACAAGTATATTTTCCCAAAAAGGCCATTGACGGAGTCGTTTACCGCCCTCCGTGGTATTCTGTTTTTTTTTTTTCTTTTTTTTTTTTTTTTTTTTTTGCTGATCAGGCACAAAGAACTTACCGCTGATCATCATTTGTTTTTCACACGGCCCTTCAATCGACAGGTATATTTCCCAGCAGGCCCAACGGAGTCGTTCACCGCCATTAAAAAAAAAAAAAAAAAAACCGTAAAAGTCATGGTATTCTGCCTTTTTCTTGTGCTGATCAGGCATAAAGAACTTACCGTTGATCTATTTTGTACACCCGACCACACGAAGATGCTCTGCATGTTGCCCCGCTGGCTGTAGTTCTCCGACAACCCAGCCCGTCATCGCCGACAGCACGCATTAATTTAATCCGTCTCAGCGGCCGGCCGCACAAGATGTCGAAATTCCCTTACATTGGTTTTTTCCCCCCCCTAATCTCGCCTTGTGCTGGCTCGAAAAGATGACTTCGAGATCTTGTGTGGTCGGCCGCTGAGACGGGTGAATGCGGTTGTGTTGTTGCTGCGGTATTTTCCCTTTTTTTTTTTTTTTTTTTTTTTTTGGTTATCTGGTCGAGGAAAATTTATTTAGTGGCTTTTTTGCAGCCTGGTGAGAATGGAGAGTATTTTGGCGATTCAGTTCATCCATTTTCTGTCTAGATTCAATTGGTCTTTTGACGGTTTTCAACGGTGTGGTAGTTCGTTGCGGACCGACTGCGACCGAGGCGTATCGAAGCATGCCGCCAAAATCTCCCAGACGGGAGAGACAATCGAGCGTCCGGCCACCCCAGGTCCCAAGCCCCGAGCTCAAGCATCTACCTGTTCATGGCGGACGTGACCTACCTGTGCCATGCATGGGCTCGGGATTTGCGTGGGGCCAGGTGTATTCCGGGAGTCTGAGACGCAGAAGGCTGGATAGTTTGGTTTCAGAGAGCGGCGGCGGAAGATGGCCCGACACCGCAGAATCTCGGAAATAACGAAACGAATTGGACTAGGGGTACTGTCCCGGTTACTAGGCAAGTAGTATTCCAGTCCAGTACTCCGATTCGTTGTTTCCGAGGTTCTGCGGTGGTAAAGAGAGGCGGTGCGACGAGAGGAAGTTGTGATGTTTTTGTTGTATTTGTTTGGCACCACGCGGGGTGGGTCATGGGGTGTCACTCGGGATTGTAACCCTTGCCCTGTTAGTTCGGGCATTGGTGGTGGTAACCACCACCGCTGCATGCACCGCAACGTCTTTCGAAAACGAGCTTCAACTAATGATAGTTTCAGTCTTACATATCCACGGGCTTATTCCTTTGTTTACTCAGCACGATAGCGAGTAGCTGAACATGGTCTGCCACCCACAAGGGACCGATAAACGGCGCACGTCCCGGTCACACTCGATCCCACATTGCAACAGTGGTAGTAGCGCCTACGAAATTCTGTAGGAGAGAGTATAGTGATGACTCGCTGTCTGTTTCAAGGCCCAAACCTTGAAGGAAGGCTATTCTATTACAGAGGGAGTAAATGCCGTCTTGTAACTACGCGGTCAGATGTCGACGCACCCGAAGAATGGGGATAGACCGCGGCCGTGGGAGCAGGCGAGAAGGTAAGAGATAGAAAAAGGAGATTCAATCATCAAATATGCCTTCTTCTCGGACATAGTCGTCATTTCTGAGGTCACGCATATCCGATCACTTGACCGCCCCTTTTCCGAAGGGTTGACGGAATGAACGGTGGCGTTGAAACAAAGGTGCCGGGCGAGTGATAAAAGAGAAATCAATACACAGTGTAGACCGTTCTGACTCGAACCACAGACGCACGATTTAAATCCTGTGCGCGGTACACTATCCCATGTCAAACCCGCCGATGAGCCGGGTTGAGATTAGCGGTCTGGATTACATCGACGTACTACTTGCTTCTAGCAATCGTGCTATAGAGCCCACTAGCGGGGGTAAAGAAAAACAATCAAATGACGGAGGCGGATATATTGCAGCTATTCCCATCGTCGACACCCCCAAGCCGCATCACCAACGCATCCAAGAAGCGTTAAATACAGAGCCCGGTCAAGCAGCACGCCGGCCCAAACAGCACATTCGATCTTTGCTAGCTAGGCGATTGGGGATTCAAACACCGAGGCCTGTAAACAGTACAATACCTCCAGTTCGGTATATACTACAGACCAGGCTTAATCCGGGCAGATAAAAGGCACAAAGGCAAGTGAAGAAGAGTGCTGTTTGGCGCCTTGGGTGCTCGAGGGCTCCAGCGGTACCCAATGTTCATGAGCACGGAAGAAGAGTTGAGTTCTTCGGAGCGTCTCCCCATGGCCATGGCCGGGGCGGTATGCATACCGAACTCGTTCTGAGCACGCACCCATGGTACAAGCAAGAGCGAGTGTGGCTTCAGCCAGGCAGAAGTAAATAAATGAGCCGAAATCACAGGGTCGTCGGCGAGGCCTGTCCGAATATCTACGCACGGCTTTCAGCAGTAGGGGCAGCAAAGAGCTTCAGCGGCGAAGAGTACGCTACGTTCCAGTAACGACTAGGGCCAATCAAAGATCATGTAATAATGTAGAGTGACCACACAATATGAGCAACGCTGCTAGCAGACCCATCCGACTGCAGTCAACTGTAGTCGACTGTGCCAAGTGAGATAGTAGAAAGAAATAGGACGGACTGTTTAGGCTGTAGGACTGCAGTCGACTCTGACCGTCCGGCCAAGACAGTCCGCCCGAACATTGGACGGACTGGATGGACTGCGGACTGCATAAGAGCTAAAAGTAGTTTAGTAAAAGAGTTGTGATGTGTATATTTGCGGAGTAACAGTTCACTCTATATTTTTGATATTATCTTCATCAGTATCAGGAGTTCAACGCAGAGTTTCGAAGAATTATTATTATTAGCAATTTTTTTATTTCTACAACCAGATACAGCATTTTCCGGATCGTTGGAGGAACCGGTTCGATGGCGGACAGGGTGCATGTTGGTGTGGCTCTAACAAGTGGCGGGAATATATCTATCAGAAAAGAGTCCGAGCTCCAGTCGGGACAAATATACAAACGCAAGGATTTATAGGAAGATATTTTCATCTGTAGCTGTAAACTCTTTTCTCTCTATGAAATTTGAGTTCATCATGCCTCTTACCTTTATCTACCCCAACAAAATATCTTATCATAATCATGAATTGCCTGTACTTGATTTTGATCTCGCACCGCAAGCAACTACAAAGCTAACGGTTGACAATGACAAAAATTACGATAAATTTGAACAGATTGCCATGGAAATCGGGCACTATCATGCAGAACTCAAGGAGTTTAACAACTCTATTGATAATGCTGATAGTCAAATAAATAATACAGCAAAGAAGCCGGTCATTACACAAATAGGAAAAATGTATGATATACCGGAAACTACCCTTCGCAGCCATATCAAAAATCCTAGGCAGCAGATGATTGTGGAAGCAAATGTGGAAAAGCAGCTTTTAACAAAAGGGGAGGAGGAAGTATTAGTAAAAAGACTACTATTTTTGGACGATTTCTATATACCTACCAATAAAGCTTTATCAGCTTGCTTGATTTTCACTACATACAAAAATAGATCCTTTTATACTAATAGGTAGGTGGCCAAAGGTAGCAGGCAGGCGGTCAAAGGTAGGACTTTGTGGGTACGTGCGGGTGACGGTTTGTGACCGCACCCTCTAACTAGTACTAAGGGTTCGAGTACTAGCAGTGCGCACCCTAAGCCCTACCACAAAATCTCCCAAATTTCTGCACGTGACGTACCGTTAACAGCCCAGAGCTATAGTGCTAGAAACGCCCTTGGAAACAAAGTGCGGTCTTAGAGGTACCATTCGTCCTTGTTCTATTTGCAGTCGGAGGCCCACGATAACGACTGAAACGTAGGTCCCAGGAGGACATGTGCGAGCATAAGAGGTAGTAATCCTTCACTACTCTTTAGACTAACCAGATATCGCCGTAATATACTTCTCATCTGTGGTTTATTGTATAGCGCAGCTGGCCGATTATCTCCTGTTCCGGTATGGAGAAGGTTACTCGCTATTTCCAATTCAATAAGCCTCATTTGTTGACCTAGCGAAAAGTGCGGCAAGCTCAGGCTGTCTTTGATGTCTTTGTAGTGGTGTATATGGTCTCCGAATTACACCCGCTACCCTTGTGCGCGGTTCGCCCAGCAGAGAAGGCCCCGACTCCACGTACGTCAATCTATCCTCGAGGGGCGGTCTGGTCGCTGTTTTACTGTTTTTTTTCCAGCGCTAGTTACGACCGCTCCACACCTCTCGGCTCTACGCCTCAAGCTCCCGATGCCCGAATTGGCGTTCAAGGACTCCTAGCTTTGTATATGCCTGATGGGGGCTACATTTTATCCGAGTTGGTCGTTGCACATTCTTCCCAGCTTAGCTACTCGAAGGGCTAACCCCAATTTCCCCAGGCCAACTTCCTTCGTCTATCCGGAGGTTATTATCGACGAATCCAACTCTTAAACCTGATGGAGCGAAGGCTCACGCAGTCCGGAGACCCTGGTGTCGAAAGGAAGGCACTGGTATCGAAGAGAAGGAAAGATATGGTGACTGCTGGAAGGGCCCGCATCTGTAGTCAATTCGTCACAAGGAGCTCTGCGACCTTCATTACTAGAAGAAATATCACCAGACTTACATCTCATATTACTGCTGTCTAGTCGGTCCTCTTGCTACCAGCCGCTATTGATAAAAATCCAAGCGTACGCCGAAGCTGAACATGATCCCAGACATTATAACACGCGCGGTTATATATACGTAGTGAGAGCTACACTAGGTGTTGCACCTTATACCCCAACAGTAGCGCAGCGATAATTGAAAATTATTGGGTGGCCGGAACTATCGTGGTAGCGAGAAGAGGGAAGAGTTAGTGTTTGAGATGACATGGTTGGCGATGGTAGTCTTTCTTGTGCGGAAGTGTGATGAGTTCAACACGGTTGGCCACTATGGAACTTCCGATGTGGCAGGTGCGGTTCATCTATGCCAATCCGGGCAAGTCATGGGCTATCACTCGAGCGTTTAATAACCCTAACCCTCTAATACCCACTAATCCCTGTCACACACCACCAACACCGGTACCATCACCAACGCGCCTTTTTCAACGAGGCGCGTCAGAAATACGGACCGGGGAAGCGGGCAGTGAAGGAATACCCTCCGTTGGTTTATCTTGGCCGATTCGCCCCCCCCCGCCCCCCCCGGGGGTTCAGGATGCCTTCTCCTTTATATGTTGGATTATACCCAGCGGCGCCTCGTGCCACAGAATTTAGAACAAGACAAGGCTAGATGGATTGCCTGATCCACTTGATTTTTCCAGCCTGATCGGGCTGAGGTAAATGCTGAGCTGCTGAAAATCTGTCTTAGAGCCTGGCCGCAAAATGTGAGCGGGCAGGTATTTCGTATGCCGCATTCCGGGTACGTACGGGCTACCCACTGAGTCTATTGAGTTTCATCTCGCGTACGGGACGGGGAGGCTTGCCTTGTGGGGCTGGTAAAGAAGTATCGGTCTATTGTCTAAATTCATCCCACGCCGTTAGAGGTTTATATTCGGGGTGGGCTATTGGATAAGCCTTCTCGGTGCGTGGAGTGCGCTTGTCTGGTGAGTCAGAAATGGAGCGGTGGGCATGAGACGTGGTTTACCTTAGTTGTCCAGAAGGATAACTACGGTGGACGACATAGTAAGATGGGGGTGTCGAATCGGTTAGTCTAACTGATAGCGAGAACTCAGGCGTCGAGGCTGGAGTGTCGATGGTTGCAGCGGTGACAGGACCCGTGTGGACGAGAAAGCACAAAGCGAAGACTAGCTGGTGGTGTGGGTCTTTTAGCTAGATGGAAGGGCGGTGATGTGCCTCTGCTGAAGGCGGTATATAAAAGATATCTGGTGTTTGCGCGGATATGTGTGGGTATTATATATGTGGCGGTGGATAGGTGCAATTAATCTGGATTCCGTTATTGTGGGCAAATCATACTATATCACTCGAACACTAGCGCGACCCCTAGCCCTGACAACACCAATCACCAACCACCACCCCCACTACGTCTATCGAATCATCGCCATCACCACCACTAGCAACCACCATCTCTTCCCACAAAACACCACCACAAGCAACGTAAGTTACAGGGTACAGATCCTTCATCACGCACCACTGAGATGAATGCGTTTATCTCAGTCACTACTCCGCCGAGCTACGTTACTAACAAACCGATTCTGGACTTGCTTAAACTCCGGAAGACCTTGCATGGTAAATGCCTGGAGTAAGCTTCTGGCCCTTCGGTTCAACTGGAGGCTGTATTTAGTGTAGTTACGAACTGCCTGCGAGACTTCTCAAATCCCTAACCCTAGACTAAAGATAACGATTAGATTAGATTAGATTAACGGGATCAACACCCCCCAATTTTACGGAACTATAATTACAAATGCTGAATAACCAAATTACTACGTGGTGGGCGTCCTTTGCTGAATTCTAGGACTAGTAATTACGCGGGTTCTCTATAGGGGCGCTGTGTACCCATTCTCGTCTTTGGGCGGAGCGGTGTGTCAGCCTGGATCGGTGAGAGGTAGAGCTGGTGTAAAGTCTCTCTGCTTCTGAGTTGGCATCTGGATTGAGTGATTATTGAGGTCATTGCTTACGGATGATATAAGTAGTACATTGTGGCTTTCACGAACATTCCTGAGTTTACTAGTTTTTCATGAGAGGAGCTGGATTATGGTGCCTTAAAGGTCGACGTCATAGCGGGCTACATCTACTTGAGAGGCTCGCGTTTGAGCTAGCACCATTCCATGAATATATACACAGGCTTCAGCCCTACCACCCAACGACCCTTATGTCATCGCAGCATCCGAACACGCGCAGCAAAGAATACGCACACGGGAACAGAGCAACCCACGTGCACGCCCTCAATCACCACATCTCACTAACCAGAGACCACCTATCTCCGAGCCACGCGGGATCACTCGGGCCCTCTACTCTGCTGACTGTAGCACAGCGAAAACAGATGCTGAATCCTGATTGGCCGGTTTACCTCAGCTGGCTTACTCATGCACGCTGGATGTCATTGGACGGGCAAAGCCTCAGGGTCGGCTGCAAGCCACGCGGCGGTGGCGTCGGCTCGGTGAGTAAGCTTTCTCAAGGAACACTGAGGCTTTGGCGGCGAGTTTGTGGTCTTGGTTATCTGCTGCATCTTGTGTAGCCAAGTACTAACTGGCCTGCTTGAGACGAGGCCGAATATACCCTCGGGCATGAGCGTAGGAAGTCGTCCACAACCATTACACAATTGCAAGGCTAGGGTGTCTTCATAAGGTTAGGGATGTTTTCTGCCCTTAACGAATCATATCGAGGTGTCCATAACACCGTATATCGTAGGTGTTCAGAACATGGTATCGTAGGTGTCCAGAAAATCACCGAGATAGGTGTTCTTAGCGCGCAGATAAATACAGGAGCAGAAGGAGCCTTCCCTTCTTCTCCAATCATCAACACAGGCACATTCTGTCTCGCTTCTAAATAACCTATCAAATTGAGACCAAATGGCCTTCTCTGTTCTGGCTGTATAGAAAGCCACACCGGCTGTGGTTACAAGAAAACCCGCACATACCATCAACCAGCAGCGCAAATGCAGCGAGGCTCAGGCTCCAGGCATCTTCTCAATCATTACTTCATAGTTCGTGTCAGCCCTATATGCCTATCCACGAATCATAGTCGTTGGTGTGAGATATCTTGTGTCGTCACTCAAAAGCTACATTGGGACGCGAGTTGCTATGTCCTCTCGAAGGTCACTGGTACTGCGCGTGTGTCCTTGAGACCTGGAGGAAGTCTCACAATGGTTTCGACCAGGAAGGGCGCAACGGCATGTTTCCACAGCCGCCGCCATTCGAAGCGCTGTTGGTTGGCGGTGACAGAGCACGTACGTCCTCATGCTTCATACATGGTACAGCACTAACCTAACCCTGACAAAGTCACACCCTGACCCCATACATACTTTCCCACTAGACGTGGCATTCCAGACCAGCTGCAAGTCCAGCGCCACCCGCCGTTGACTCTTAAGACCCGACTGCTACATAAACCTAACCACCGTTACACAATGGGAGTCGACATATATATAAGCCTTACGTTAAGCTCCGGAGGTTTCAGGATTAATGTGGCCCCTGCATGTACATACACACATCACGACTTTGATTGAAATCGATATGTATGTATATGTCCGCTACATTACGTTACGGATCGATCTGTGCAGCGGCATGTGCTGATGTGCTATGTTGACCAGAATATGGATGTGCATCAAGGAGGTATGTAGGACGAGTGACCGCCTATGATCTCAAATCCTGTCATGCCGGTATCGTTACTCGGCTATTACATACTTGTAACCAGGAGTTCAGTGGATCTTCAGATGAGACGCATCTTGACACTATGCAGTAGGTCTACTAGAGCAGCGTCTGGTGGTGAATTCTAAGCATCGGGTACTAATCTACAAAGTCTAGACTAGAGTATCTAGTGGGTAGTAGTCGTTTATGTACCCTCTTCTCTACATGAAGTCGACATACACGCCCTACCAACCCCCTCTCTCCTTCTTTCCCCCCGGTTCCCCGCCACCTCTCTCCCATCACCACTGCACAGCACCAAAAGCGCACCACTGTAAACTGTTGGGACATCGCTAGCCAAATCATCAGCAGCAGCACTCTGATCATGATCTACCTAGCTAGAGTAGACGAGACACTGCACGCAAGAGTACTTATTCTCCTCTCTAGAATAGGTGCTCTAGAGCTAATATGTACTCCAGCATAGTGCACTACATACATTGACAGCTATTCGGGGTACATGTGGACGTGCCCGACATCCAAAGCGGGCGCCAACCACCCAACTATTAATAGCAGCGTGTCTAATGCGGCCTAGCCGCTGCCGCAACGGGTACACGCGAGGGGGTTGTGCAGCTGGACGACTTAGTCTGAGAGCGTAGATAATCCGGAGTAGTTAGAGCGTGACAGAGTGACCCTGGTTCGGTATTATTTTTTATGCCCACCATGCAGCTTGATAGGGTGATGTTGTACACATACATACTCTACATGTCCCTTTTACTACAACCGACCAACTGCTAACTACTAATCAACTACTCTACCTACTACACACTACGCCCCCGGCCCTGGTCGAAGATCACAACCTCCAACGCGCGCAAAATAACAAGGAACAAAGGTATCGTGAATATGCTAAAGCAGTGGTATCATTTTTCGCCCTTCCCTTCGCCGTTCCCCCTCCCCATCCGAAAAAAACCAGCCAGTAGTCCCTTCTCCCCTACACAAAAAAAAAAAAAATCAAAAAAGGTATCATCGACAACATACATAGTAGAACCGAAGCATAACCACAAGAAAGTAGAGTAGAGCCACAAGATGTAAAAAAAAAGAAGAAAAAAGAAAACTCGCCGTCGTCGCCGCTAGTTAGGCTGGACTGGATCGACTGGACTGGACGCCCCCTACACAAACAGTATCCAATTCTAGTCTGTATGCATGCATGCACCAATGCAGGAAGAAAGATATAACGAAAAAAAAAAGAGACGGAAAAAAAAAAAAAAAGGATCAAGCTGTTCTTTTGCACGTAACATCGTAACGCTAACGCAAGCAAGCCCAACTTTTATAATAACCACAAGACGGAAAACAAAACAGAAAATGACATAAATGAAACATAAAGATCCCAAAACAATGAATGTTTCAACAAAAAAGGAGAACAAAACCACAAAAAAAGTCCCGAGATGCAAGAGCCAAAGAGAAAAAAATCACATTATCACATCACATCACAACCCTCATCTCATCTCATCGCATCGCATCTCATCTCTTAATGCTACCATGTCTACTACTCCTACAACACCAAAAATATTAGCACACATTCCTTCACTCAGGTCCAAATCCAAATCCAAATCCACAAGAAGGAAAGGTCAAACATACTGATACGGTCCCGACCCCTGCGTACTCCTCGGCGGATTCCTCGTATAGCCAATATACGTCCCCGACTGCTCCGGGTTCTCCTGCAGCCTCCTCCCCCCCGTCGACGCCTGCCTCATCGGCGGTGGCGCTGGCGCCTCCACCTGCGGCGGCTCCGGCGCAGGCGGCACCGCCGGCGGACTAACAAGCGCCGGCTTTCCCGGCGGCGGCCTATTCGCCGACGGCCCGGGCCCAGGTCCAGGGCTCGGAAAGCCATGGATCGAGTTCGGGCGGCTCTTATGGCTGTGCCGATGCTGCGACGAGCGGCGGCGGTGGTGGCGGTGCTCCTTGTCGTCGTCGGCCCCGCGGGTAGTCGATCGCTCGCGGCGGATGACGCGGACCTCGCCGTTCCGGATGCGGCCCGAGAGCTCGATGAGCTCGTCGATCTGCGCCTCGTCGAGCACCTGGAAGACCATGATCGAGTCCGACTGCTCCTTGAAGTCGTAGCCGATGACCTCGACGGCGCGGCGCGCGACAATGTCGCGGCTGATCTTTGTCCAGCGGTGCTCGGTGCCGTCGGTGGACTTGCGGGTGCGGCTGATGGAGCGGCGGCGGCGGCTGTGCGGGCGCGGGCCTGGGCCGCCCATGGGCGCGCCCATGTCGCGGTCGCGGCCGCGGTGGTCGTCGCGGTAGGGCGAGTTGGGCCCGTCGAGGGAGAGGGCCTCCATGCGGTAGAGCTCGCGCTCGCGGTAGTCGTGGTCGTCGTAGCCGCCGTCGCTTCCAGTCTGTCTTCGGATGGGCATCATGGCGCCCTGCATCGGCATCATGGTTCCCTGGGCTGGGGGAACAACGCCCGGGACTGGCGGCGGCGGGAGGATCACGGGCTCGACGCCGTGGGGGAGGGTGTATGGGGATGGTTGTGGCGGCGCTGGGATCATGACTGCCGGTGGTGCTGGGGCAGGTGCTGGTGCTGGTGCTGGTGCCGGGGGCGCAGGTGCTGCTTCAGGTGCTGGCGGGGCTGGTGCGGGGGCCGGGGCTGGTGCCTCTGACGCAGGGGGCGGCATGATAGCTTGGGTAGTAGGGGGTGGGGTGCCTCGCGATGGCGCCGCGGCAATCGCCCGCTGGTTGATGGGGGAGTTCAATGGCAGCGTGTGGGAGCGGGAGGTGGTGTTGATAGTGATGTTCCCAATCGGAGGCTTGCCCCCACGGGTGCTGCCGCTGTAATTGATGTCAATGGTGCGCCCGTCATACTCAATCCTGATATTGCTCTGGCTAGCCTGCTCTGGCTCTGAATCGCTGCCGCTCCCTGACGTTTCCGAGCTGGGACGGGCCCGTGGCTGCTGCGGCTGCGGAATCATTGCCCGCGAGTCACTCGCCGGCACAGACCGCGACCTGGCCCTCACCAGAGCTCCCTTGTCAGTAGTACTTGCCGCCTTCCTTGCACCTGGGCGGTACACCTCCTCGAAGTCCTCGGATCCGTCGCCACTCGCCTGAGAATCCGTGAGTCCCAAGCCGTGATGCGGCCCCCTCGACCTGCTCCGCTCCCTCCTAACCTGGCGCGGGCGTTGCTGCTCTCCCAGGACAGGCCGTGGGTTGTTGGGGTGATACACGGTTCCCTCCCGCCTAAACTCGCTAGGCGGAGGCCCGCCAAGGTGATACTCCCGGTCCCTGACGTTCCCGGGCTGACTCGCGTGGGGCACAACATAGCTCTGCTGCCTGTCCATCGGCCTCTCCATCGGCCTCTCCATCGGGAAGTTCATGTCGTAGCTCTCGCCCGAGAAGTTGCTGCTGCTAGAATGGTAAGCTGTAGACTGCGGGCGACCACCGCCGCTCTGGTTCGGCACGATATACGGGCCCCTCCCGGGCGGCGACGGGCTGCGAGACGAGGACCGGGACGTCTGTGCACCGCGCCGGGGCGGCCCGCGATAATCGAAGTGATCCGGCCCGTGGTCGTATCCGCCCTGCGGCGCATGCGGGGACGGCTGGGAGTGGTGCTGCTGCTGGTGGATCACGTTTGGTCGCTGCGGCGGCTTCTCGCTGTCCGTGTTCCGGCGGCCCAGGCTGTTCATGCGGCTGTGCATGTGCGGGTCCATTCCGCCGCGCATCCCTTGCTGCTGCGGCGGGCCCGGGGGCCCGGGGGCGGGGGCCATGTGCTGGGGAGGGGGTGCGGGCGCGGTGCCCATCCGGCCAGGCACCGGGGGGCCGCCCATGCCCATCCAGTTCGCCACGCCGCCCCCGGGGGAGGGCTGCGGCGGGGCGTAGCCGGGCGTGGGCGGCACCGACTGCGGGTGGGGGGGGCCGTACCCGTAGTGCAGATCCTCGGTGCTGTCCTGGGGCGAGTGGGGGCCGGAGTAGGGCCTGTTCTGGTGGTGGCCGTGGGGCGGGCCGGGGGCGGGTGGCGCGGGGGCCATGGGGGCGCCGCTGTAGTACATGTTCTCCGGCGGGGGGCGGTGCAGCGAGCCGGTTGAGGCCCGGTGCGGATCCATTCCGTAGCGTTGGCGTGACGCGGGGGATTGGCCTCGTCGGTTCGCCATTGCGGGGCTAGAGAGGGGTTTGTATCACGAGATGTTGGGGGGTTGTTGCAACAAGACACGCACAACGAAACAACAGCAGAAGAAGAAATACTATGTGGTGATGGCAATTTAATAGCAGCAGCAGCAGAAACACAGATGTCAGGATGGATAAATAGCGACAACGGTGCAGAAAGAGATCTCTAGCGAGACAAACCGATGAGGCTGCACTGAGAGATGCTGATGCTGATGCTGACGATGGTGATGGTGATGGTGATGGTGATGGATGGTGATGATGATGATGATGAGTGGAGAAGAGGGGAAGAGAAGAGAAGAGAAGAGGAAGTAGAAGAAGAAGAAGAGGAAAGATAAAAAGAAGGGAGGGTGGGGATGGGATATGTATGAGTATGCAAGCAGTAGTAGTGTGTATGTATGTGAGGAAGGGATTGCTCTGGTTGGTTGGGAAGAGGATGGATGGCGATTGGGCGGAATGTGATGCTGATGATGGGATTGAAGAGGAGTGATGAGGGGTTTCGCTTGATTTGCCGTGACGGAGAAGAAGCAGAGGATAGATATGTAGGATAATAGAGTAGTACTAGTAGCAGTAGTAGCAGCAGCAGCAGCAGTAGCAGTAGCTACATGTAGTTGTGGCAGTAGTAGAATCTAGATATCTGCGATACCTGCCTGAGATACTGCAGTAGCAGCAGCAATTGCAGACTGCTGCTGCTGCTGCTGCTGCTGCTGCTGTATCGGAGTGAGTGGTCGCAAACTGGAATGGCAAGGGACCGCCTTCCAACGTACGGGAGATGATTTGTGCGATGTGCCACGTCGAGCGGGGGAGAGATGGATGGATGGATGGATGGATGGATGGATGGATGGATGCGATATGTGGATGAGAAAATAAAGACTCTCACTCACTCACAAAAGCTAGAGGCAGAGAGGGGATGATGATGATGCTGATCTATTTACTCCATCAGAGAATGCTCGAAATCTATTCGACCTCCGTCTCCCCTCCGGATCCCCTCATCATCATCGCTGCTCAGAAGTGAAATTGTGTTCTGTGACCCATGCTGCTTTACTACTGCACTCCAGCTAGCTAGTACTCCAGACAGGTAGCCTCAACCATCACCAGCTGTGACCGACCCTCCAAAATTAATCCCGGCGGGCGTCAAAAGGAAAAAAAAAAAAAAAAAAAAAAAATGGAAACGTTAACAACCCCCCTACCTAACCCCAACCTACTACTACTACTACCTACCCTCCGTGAAATGCTGCACCGTGATGTCGATGGTCACCCTTCCTCCCCATTGCACACTATCTATTGGCAGTGGGAGTTTTATTACCTCCGGATCCCCCCCCCCCCCAAATCATCACACCTCAGTCTACCGTGAGTGAGTGAGCGAGTGAGCGGGGTGGCGTAGCGTAGGGCCCATCTCTAAGGAAGTTCTTTGCCTGAGACCCTTGCTTCCGTACCGGCTATGGCTACGGCAAGGTACAATTAGTTGGGTCCCTTTTTTTTTTTCTTGTTTGCCCCTCCCTCCTCCCTCCCTCCCCTAGCTCTCATACTACCTACTACTATTACAACTCCAGGGTCTCATCCAGCGGTAAGCAGCCGCATCAACGTCATGTCTCTCTTCTCTCCCCCCTCTCTGTCTCTGTCTCTGTCTCTGTCTCTGTCTCTGTCTCTGTCTCTGTCTCTGTCTCTGTCTCTGAACATCACTACATACACTCAAGAATGAGCGGTGCACGATGATGATGATGATGCTGCCCAGCTAGCACGCGAAGAGAGGGGGGGGGGGGGGGGGGGGGGGGAATTAGATTTTTGCACAGCCAGCCAGACAGATGGACCAGTTTGTTGTAGGAGGAGAACTAAACACGTGTTACGAGCTCACCCACTAGAGTAGACTCCCTGGACTGTGTGCGGCGACAACAACGACGACGACGACAACGACAACGACAGCAACGGTGGCCGTGGGTGAGGGTGAGGGTGAGTGAGAATGGGTACCTACATAACCTACCTGCCCACAGTAGAGCACAGCATAGTAGAGCAGAGCACGGTATGGTACGGTATGGTAGAGTGGTGCGGTACGGTACGGTACGGCTACACATACACCTACACCTAGCAGATTATCTAGCTACAGTCCCTACATGAACCTACCCCAAGCTGTCCGCACCCACCCACCCACCATGACAGCAGCACAACCCCGGCTGGCCGCCGCTTCACTCCTCTCTCCACTACACTCCACTCCACTCCACTCCACTCCACTGCCCAATTTTCCCTTTCGCGTGTCATTCTGCTGTTGTTCCCATCTCGAGAAACTTAAACGGTTCCTCCCCTCAAATATTTTTTTTGATAGTGAAACTGCACTTTTTTTCTCTTTTCTCTCTTTTTTTTCTCTCCCCCGCGCGCGCCTCGTCCTCCCCCCCGGCGTTGCTTTTTTTTTTTCCCCGAGCCTTGCCTCGTCAAACTGTTTCGCCTGATGGGGGAAGCACAGCAGAGCCATAGCAGCGGGTCATGGGCAGTATACCTACCACCAACCTCTGTGACGTAGTTAATTCAGCTGGCTTGAGCTCTACCAACACAACATCAACGGTCCAGCCAGCCCACGGAGGGGTCAACACTTTCTAGAAACAGGTGACGAGGACAGCGTACATGTGAGTACATGTACCTACTCTATAATAGCTACCTACCCACTATATATCTGCGGCGAGCGAGCGTGCAAGATCGAAGGGGGTGTTGTGAGTTGCCAGCTTGCCTCTCTATGCTTACTTCCCCCCCCCCCCCCCCCACTATTATCGATAACAGACGCTGTATGATATGACTGTAGCCTATACCCTACGCGGTGCGGGGGAAAAAAAAAAAAAAAAAAAAGATTTTTACAAGGTAGGTGTAGTGGAGGTTGCGCGTTTATCCGCCGCCGCGTTTGCTTGCTGGGACTGCTGCCTACCTCTAGCTCTTACCACGTAGACTGACTTGACTGTCTGTTGAAACATTTGATATTACTCAGAGCCTCATTTCAAGTTTTTTTTTTATTTTTGTTTTTTTTTGCCGCTCGCGAGCGTTTTAATTTTTCTGGAGTGCGTGTGAAGACTGTCGGCCGTCCGTCACGTGCGGGCGGGATCGCAATAAACGTACCGTTGACAGTAGTATTGCTCGCTGGTGGTGAGTGGTGGATCAGTACATACAGTAGGAATTAAAGAAACCCTAGCCCGGGCCCGCTGACGAGGGTCAAATAGCGAAAAAAAAAAGTGCAGTAGTAGCCTTGTAGCAAACACCGCCTCTTCTTCCCGGAACCAAAAAGTTTGTGTGACCATGGCTAGCAAGTATGTTTTATGTATGTCACGCTACTTGGCATGTTGCGTGACGTGACTTTGCCGGGGGGCTCGGGCTGTTTCGATCTCGGGCCATGATGGAACATTTTTTTTATATTGCATTTTGGGGGAATGCTGGATAATTCCATGGACTCTCATAAGCGAGACCCCCCCCCCTCTCCCCCCCGCTCCCCGGAGTCATGTCCGCCTTGCCTGAAGCTTGCACACACTCAAGTCGTAGATAGGTGTATGGTACTCTACTTTACTCTACACATCCCTGGCGAACATCTCATCGTGGCCAATATACACATGCTGGGAGGGGGGTCTGCTATAAAGAACTATGGATCCAACGACTACAAACCACGCACTCTTCGCACAGCATGGGTCCGAAAACGTCAAAAGTTAAAATCGCCCACACCCCCATAGACACCGGATATACTACATGAGCAATGTATAATGTATGTGTGTATGTCGGCCAGCGATTCGGTCCTAGGATCCTACATGCATCGACAACGGGAATCAAACTAGCCTTACCTCACTTACTTCACATGGCAGGTGCATTTTCCATCCTCTTCTCCATCATCTTCTTCGTCTCCTTCATCCTTTGTGCTTGTTCGAATACTAATGATCGTCAGCTTACCGCTTCCTCTTAGTTCCTCTGCTTCCACCTAATCGACATATTCTAGGCAAACAGGCAGTTCGTATCGATATCGGAAGATGCCAGTTGAAGGATACTTCCGGAATTCTCCATATCTAACTTCTCTCTCGGCATTCCTTGCGCTGTGCTGTAATACAAGCAGAGCCACATCGAATAGGGTTCCACCGAGGCGTTTGCGAACGAGCCATTAGGAAACGTTGATGTGATGTGATGTGATGGGCATTATCTATCTAAGGAATATGTATCTGGCTGGCTCAGGCAGACATAGGATGAAGGAAGGCCATCGATATTGGATGCATCTTACTAATTGGGCAGACGCAATGGGCCAATTGCCACGATCCACGAATGGAGCTCGCGGGGCTCATCAGAAATGACTCGTATCCGTGGATTGGAGGATGGTATGCCGTTTGACGTCCGGCCTGACTGGCGAGACTCGGCTCGACTGGTGGTCCGAGCCTGGCTGAGATCTGCTTTGGGGCGTGGGTGGGAGTGGTGGTTGTAGTGGGTGGTGGTGGGTGTCGCCCCATCTCGTATACTCATGCTGGACCGAGCGTTCCAGTAAGTATTGTTGCCAACTACCACTGGAAGACACACTGGGCATATACATACAATCCACTGGTACCATCGCCGATTCAGAACATGACTAGCCTAGTCAGAACCAGCAGAATCATGATGGGGGAGAAAAACGGCTCGGGTGGTCCAATTGCTTTAATCCACGAACGAATGGGTTGATTTTTTCCAAGACGGAGATCAAGAGGGTGGTGTTTGTTGCATCTGCGCGGATCATCGCCCTTTGTAATCTTACCGAAAGTTGGCTCGCCGTGGCATCGAACCATGGGCGAGATACTGCCTTGATGCCAATCGTATCTTGAGAGACACCCCCCGGCTCTTGATACCTCTATCGGCACGGAATACTCATTCATCTTGTGAACAAGCCTGATTATCCTGGGACGTGCTCCCGCTCCTACATATACGGGGGAGTTGACGATTGAAGTACTCCAGTGAATAGTGCTACAGGGGTCCAACCACATGCTGGAGGACCCGGTTTTCTTTCGAGAAGTCTCTCATGACTACATGGTGCCCTCGTTAGGAGTAGTTGGCGCCGGGTATCACTTCACGCTCGGAGTTAATAATAAGTCTCGTTATGAATCGAACCAAATAACCACTTACATATCTGTAGATATGGATACCGGCAGAGCAGAGCACAGGGCGAACCATGATTTCTTATTCCGCCAGCCGTAGACATTTGGCAAAACTGGATCTTTGATATTGGAACCATGCCTTTTACAGCGTCAGTTGGCGTGATACGAAGATTGTTGGTAGTGTATCATTGACATGGATCGGCGCACTATCTATAATTACCCTGCGTCGTATGCTATTTTGGTTGACTTGACACGAGGCGGTTAAGCCGTGTTGTCTTGTTTTTTGTTTTTGTTTTTTGGCTCTTTGTTTGTTTTGGTTTTGGGGTGTAGGCACTGGCCCTTGGGGGTGGATTGACGGGCTTTGTATGTTGACCTATTTTTGCTTATGTCGAGTCAGTTGGGGTCCACGGGGCGAGAGATATCTAGAGAGTACATACCGAGTATGTAACTAAATGTACATGAACCCTGACAATCCCTATCGCCCGCTCAACCAAACATCACTATCCCACCCATGGCCGGCGGCGGCGAATGGGGGGTGTCCTAATTGGCTGCCGTTATTTCAATTCCTGCTGGATGATAGGCCGTTTCCATAGGAGTATCTGAGACAGTCATTATTTCATCAACCTGCGTTCATTGGGTAGGCTTTGTACCACCATATCTGATCGCCGCATCTCGAGATATCACTCGGTGTTGACGATGTGGTGAAGAATTTTATTCCCCTCATATGATGAAATGGTATTGGTGATGTATCGGTTTGGGTATGCTGTTGGTGTTTTGGTGAGCGTTGGAGGTGGTAGTGGTCAGATGCTGCATCTGGGGTTTGTGTGGTCTCGTGCCGAGCTGCAAAGGGTCCTCAGGGTTTGGGGGTTAAGGGCTAAGCGGTCAGCTGTACCCTAACAGGATACCTAACAGGACACCTAACAGGACACCTAACAGATGGGAGCACTTTGTATATCTCGGTAATTGACCAATTAGTTTGGAACCCACTCAATCTCAGAGTTTTTCGGGACCAGGGTTTGTAGTCTGATGCGGGACTTTGAGTATTGTAATCATTATGATCGGCACACAGGTTCTCTGCAACAATTGAGGAGTGCATGTGCACAACGGCAAGCCAATCTCAGCTGTGTGTGTGTGTACACATTTCTTTTGAGACTAGGACTAGACCTACGTAGTACCTGATTTTTAGAAAGAAGATGACTTGGGGTGCGAGCTCTTTCTGCACTTAATGTATGTGTTGTTTGTATGGCCCTGTATTTGTCAGATACACAAACATCATTGAGAGTTAGAGAAATCTGGGCACGAGACTAACAAACAATGACAATTGACTTTTGCGCGTGACGGATGACTGAAGGCTGTAGTATTGTTATCATTTACAAACTTATTTCTAAATTTGAGTCTATATAATAGCACTGCCTGTAAAATGAAACATTGTCAGAAAATATATACAGACGCGCACATTGTGATAGTTAGGAGTGGTTTGATCAATTGAGCGGTTTGGTATTGGGATTCTGGTTTAGAAGTTTGCCTTCATGATCTGTCACTCGATATGTTCTTCTTGGCGCCAAGAGGTGGCATGTTAGTTAGGCAATTAGGGCTCCCTAGTTGTTTTGTCGCGAATGTTTCAGTCTACCCTCTTCTGTATTGTGTTGATATATCGTAATTTTACGAGTTTGCTTTAAACCTATCACAGAAAGAACAATTTGTTGGTTCATTGGGCCTATAAACACACCTGGAGCAAGAATTAAAGTGAAGCTACGAATCGATTGTCGGGCTTCCAAGATACTATGAGCACATATTCAAATCGATATTGACCCCAAATAAGAGGAAATCACGCCGCACAAAAATATAGGCTAGCTGTACGTACACAGGGTTAGGGTCCAAATCAGGGTTAGGGTCAACTTACAAGGGTTAGGGGAAGATTGCGCTGCTCACCAACTGATCATTGACCATGCACTGAGCTACTCAGTGACCGGCTTCTAATAACCACCAACCCCCACAACTACTTCATCTACACTCACTTCACCTGCCATCGTTCACTTTATCTGTCAACACTCACCGCATCGTCAAATGTCATCAACTTCAGATAATCTCCCCCTTGCACCTATACTTACTGACTCTGAAATCGCTGCTCTATCTCAATTACTGTACAAGAGCGCTCTACAACATGACATTTCGCTACATAATATTGATGGCACGAGCTCCCTCGATGAAAATAACGGTTCCACATCAGCCCATCAAGGATTTGCTAATAGATACGATACGTCAAGTTACGAAAGACCACCCAACATTCTGAATGCATTCGCTTTTGTATCTGCCAAGTATGAGAGCTCGGCTCAGTATATGGCCTTGTCGGCAGCTATGGGACAAAAGGTTTATGTCTACATTGCATGGAACTGGGAGAAGCCGAATGAGGAGGTAAAGATCCATCTCAAAAGTCTGTGGACGCATATGCAGTGCATTGCGTATGTGAGGCACTATATTCGCTGTGGAAATGCATCAGAACGTCGTGGCTGGGCTAGCATTGAGATTGAGGAAGCACCTTCGGGAGTTAAGGAGGTTAGTACTGAGAAACCCAAATCTGAATAATAGTATGTTTGAGGATGTATCCTCAGAGAGTGCTAAGACTGCTACTATGGAACAGATTTTATCGGGAAGGTTTTCAGGAAGGGATCCGGATCTTATCGTCCTGGAAGAACTTCACAAGAAGTTCATGCACGGTGTTCAAACATTTTGCTATCCCAAAACTAGGCGTCGAGTCAAAAAGTATCTCGCTCCCGGGATATCAGAATTTTATAAATTCTACTTCGACATCAACAGGGACTTTGTGAACCACGGGGATGTTTTGGCTAAAGTTATCCATTCGCTGTACTACATCTCCCGAATAGTAATGGTGAACATTAATGAGGACAACCCAGATAATTTCTCGGGTCTTGATTGGAGCCAACTGCTACATATGTTCAGAGTTCTACACCACAGGTACATAGCCAACGTGGATGAGATTTTAGGGCGGGCTCGCCTGATCCTACATACTTGTAGGGAGCTACAAGAAGTCAAAGGTAAGATTACCCCTCCTCTAACCTCCCATAGTATATCGAAGGCTCACACTCGGCCTTTAGAGGACACCACATTACATAATTTCAACATAGTAAAGGCAATATATAAGATTTCGGAACTAGGAACTTATATTTACGAGTTACTCGACTTTGCGTATTCCCCACGACGTCATGCAGTACTGCAGAAGGATATTGAAATCATATTTGTGGATTCTATTGTCGATCGGGCACCAGAACCACTTTCTCACCACGAAATGACGGCTATAGCGAAACTTGTCTTTGACACTACGTGGTACAACCCTGCTACAAACTTTTACGAAAGGATGCTAGCTGCCCACGAACGACAAACCAAATCCGTGGAGGCAGCATTATCAGCGAGAGCATCGTCACTTTCGGTGCACCCCGAAATGGCCTTGCTGATTTACCACCACCAACAATTCGCAAAGCATCGCTCAAATCCCGAATTCATTGCCCCATTTGAGTATATCGCAGTTAACGGGAGTCCATGTATCTGCTCTCGAGCTATGCTCGACGCATACTCGAAGGCAACAGAAAGATCGTTTATCCTTTACGGACATAACCCAAAACTTTCTGCTCCCTGGTGGGCCGCAACTGATTGTTTTGAGCCAAAATTGGCGGCTGCCATGAAGAGAATCTTTTACTGGAATATGGTGGAGGTCTACACGGCCCAGTTGCGTGAGTTTGAAGAACTTGGGGGTGTAAAGAAACAGGATGGGTTCGACGAGGTTCCCTTGGACAACAGCGTTGCGCAGCCAGAAGATGGTCTCGAAAAGAAGAGGAAGAAGAAATGAAGACCGAGTCATCTGTCAAGGTTCTTTGCTAGGGGAAAATGGAGGAGGAGGAATTAAATGGGTTCCGGTGGAGGATATTTTAGGCGGTGATATGACCGGTTGTGATTTCATTTTATCTTTTTTTTCTTCTCTTTTCCTTCCAATATCACAAATACAGGAGACATGGGCGGATTGAGTTTTCTGGCTTTCAAAGAGGTTTGAAGACATTTATGGTGGTAGGGGAAATGATGCCTGAATATGGGGGGGGCGACATTTACGTTCTCGTCTCGAGATATAGGCGCGCATCCCGTAGATATATATATTGGTCTTTAGCTATCCTCAATAACTATACTTCTTACACAATTAGTATAGCTATAAAAGATGGCGTACCTACGCGACGGTGAAGGAACATCACCACAAGAAATAAATAAACAAACATTCTCAACGACATACAGACCCCGGACCCAATTCAAAAATCTCTCTTTCCCATCTGTTTGAGGGCCGCAATGAGAGTATAAGTCCTAAGTATGGCTCCGGAACTCTTAAACCTAGTCCGACATAGACCGGTTAGGGGACAGAGTTAAGACGAAATAGTGAGCGAGTAGATTCAACCAATGGGTACGAGTTTGAGCACAATATATTGACTGCACCTGCTCACTTTTAACCCTGCCCCCGTCCGATCCGTGTAGGAAGGTTTAAGGCTTCCGGAGCCATATCCACATACTTGTATGTAAAGTGATAGAAAGGACCAGACACCCGACGGTATATACATACCGCAACTCAAGTATCTACATTGTATATATATCGTGGAACAAAAGGACCAGATATTTCGAGATAGTAGTGATGGACACAAGACAAACAAGAGGAGACTTGACCTAATCTCGTCTCGTCTTGGATCTAGGGAGCCAATATCTTATTACTGAAGAGACCCGGGTCAGGTATTGCGCAAACCCCCGAAACCATCAATAACTTGGTCCAATACTACCTGGTTGGGCGTTTTTTGGTGGCTAAACCAGCCAACACAGTCAGGGTTAAGGTTTGTGTATCTACTGGCTGTAAAAACCTCCATTTTCGAACATTTTTCAATATCTCGAGACCTCCTCAGACCACTCTCGAGACTAGTTGTTTTGCCTACCTCCTAGATTCGTCTCATCTAGCATTACAAGTACCTAGAAAAACAAAACCTCAAGGATTTTTGTTTCGTGCCCATCACTATTTCGAGACCATAAACAAGACACTACTAATCAACCATATATAACACCTACATATATAGCGAGAAGGCGCCCTTCAGAAGACACAACAACAAAAGGCTTCACCGTTGCCTTTTGGCAACCGAGAGCGTCCAAGAGTTCTATTATATACATGTAAGAAGTAGTAAGTAGTCTTGATAGTTACAATATAAGAAAAGTAGTACACGTAGATTCCGTGGAATCCAACGACATTTTCCTTAACAATTTTCTTAATTTAACAATCACTTTAATTTAGTTGTCAACCTAACAAGCTAAACAAAAAGAAGAAAACTGATGTTAATGATAGCCGGTTCGAGACGACCAGGAAGAAAAGCCCGACTCGTGGTAGCAGCTACTCGGCTTAACTCGGCTTGCAAAAACTCTAGTTTTTCAGTACCCTCAGACATTATAATTAGCCCTTGAAGTCATTCTAGATCTCTTTCTGTGAACGTATATTATTAGGGTTAGGGTTTTGCCACTTCTAGAGTTTATAAATCAATGACGAGCTTTCCAAGTCGAGCAGTGGAAGCTCGACTCGTGAGGGTAGCTGCTCGTGGGTGCTCGAGCTTTAGATTCCAATACCGTATCCTTGCTGCATAAGAATATGTAGTTAGCGAATCCGCACCCTTTTTAGTACTAATATATGTCGATCACGAGTGATATTCCATGCATATACCGTCAAAACAATCCCTTCGTCAGTTCCCGCGATTCACAACTTATTAGCGTGGAGATATTCAATAGGCTAGCTGTTATTGAGGCTGTAACGCTGCCAAAAGAAGTAGAATCTGTTCAAAAAGAGAAAGGAGGGGTGACAGACGTGACTTTCGCCACCAATAATCTAGGGTTAGGTATATTTAAGCAGGATTTGCAAGAAAATCTGCTAGACCGAGTTAAACCCTCTTCTTAGCGTCCGGTCATGAAAAAAGACGAAGGGTCTGCAATAACAAATCACCTGATTAATCCACTATTACCACCTATAACGGCCGATCCCAGTCGATACGCCGAGCGCGCCCATTCTACAACATTCTCCTACAAATATCTCCGCGGTATCATATCTGACCTCGCGCACGCCCGGCTGGTTGAGCCGCGGCCGCGATCTCCCAACGCCCGCCACCAAATCCGAAACCGGCCGGGCTCCCAAAGGCTGCGCACAAACCCATCTCAACGCCTCCGATCTTTTTCAGCCAGAATTGACATAACCGGCGTATTTCAGCGCCGATTCTGTATATAACTGTGTGAGTTAGATTTATATGCTCTAGAGAAGTCCGGGAATAGATCGCAACAATACCTTTCGAAACGTGGGTATCCATGCTTTTCCGTTTGGAGATGTGATATACGATATAGATTCCCCCATCGATCGTATTGCAGTCAACCTGCCCGACGCCGGCGAGTTTGACCTGAGTTCTGAATCTGAAGTCCAAGCTCCCGCAGCTCGTGATTCCTCTCAGAATCGGGGATCCCACCGAGACCCGTATAGATAGACGTGACATTCCCTCTTCACATTCATCCAGGCACTTCTCACTCTCTCGGTCCGGCCTTTTGTCCGATCCATGATCAAACCCACAGTTCCAGACGTAACATTTCCCCCAGCTCTCCAGTAGCTCATGATCTTCACTTTCAAATAGCAGAAAAAGGCCGACTCCGGTCCCGCGGCTGCCGTGTTTCTAGTCCCCGGTACCGACAATGCAGGGCCGGGAATAGGGCCGGACACACAGTCCCCCCGCATGATACGCAGGTCCGGCCGCACACACCCGTAACTCGATCTTCAGTGCAGCACCGAATCTCACCCGTCCCCACACCCCTTGTATAACCTGACCGCCGATCCTTCCTCAGAGTAATTATATTCACCAGATCTCACTCGATAACGTATAACCGCTCTGGTGATAAATCACGTGCCGCCTACTGCAAGAACTGATGAAGCTTTCGCAGGTGCCTTTTTTTTCCATTTCCATTTTTGTTTTTTTGTTCAGTTCGTGGCCAGCGCCTAGTTGACTGATTGCTGAGTGAGTGCGGGCCGCGGCCGGTCGGTGCACGTCAGTACTCAGTTCAGTCGTCAGTCATGGCGGGTCGAATTCAGAATATTTCCAAGCACAGACCAGCACAGTAGCGGACTGTGTACCTACGTTTCCCCCATTACTTGGTGAGGCGTGTCCCAAGCGCCGGGCTATTATTGCGATTTTGATTGTGGAGGAGAGGGGGGGGGGGCGGGCTGGGCGTTTCTGTATAACTGTCCGGCCGCAGCTGAAAGTGAGATTACCAGTGATGATGGCATCCGGCCGGAGGTTTGTTGTGATTCGAGTAGTATCAGTAGCATCTGCATCGGGAACCTATCGAGCTAGTAGTTTGGTTACTTTAGATTTCAGTAAATAAACTCGTGCATCCAATCAGGGCTCCACAACGGCCGGTCGAGGGTTTCGGTCTTAACCTGGTTGCGTCCACCAATTGGCAGTTGCGAACCCAGTTTTTTCTCGAAAAGTCTGTGTACTGCAGCAAGAAAAAGATGTCGGTATTAAGACAAGACAGATGTTTATGTGAATGACTCGATGCTGCTGCTGCTCTCCAGGTGTTTCATTCAGAGCCCTTCCGCTACTTGTTCACTGAGTGTTAATTCTCATTCATGCTTAGATTTCCAATATGCGCCTGCCTGCACGCACGTTGTAAAGCAAATTTGCAAAACAGAAAAAAAAAAAGAAAAAAAAACAACAAAATTTCTCTACGCAGCTAGATTAGTTAGCACCCCTCATTTCCAAAACCTGAGTTTTTTTCCATTTTTATTTTTCCCTTTTTCACTTACTTCATACACTGTACTGAGGAACTAAAGTGATAACAATGAGCTGTTCTGCGATGCCATGCTCGGCCGGCGTAAAATCGCCTCTGTCTTCCAGGAAACGGACTTCCGAGTGATACCCGGTGTCCGCACAAAAAAAAACCTGCAACGTGGAGTAATCCCATTTACTCTACTCCACCCACGCAATCTTCTTCCTTTTTTTTCTCCTTCTCTCTTTCGCCTGCTGCAGCACGTGAGCATGTCTTACTGAGGGAATAAGCATAAGCCGCATACATACTTAGCCAGGGAATCGGTGAACGTCGGCTTTGCAGTTAATTCGCGTAGAGGGGGTATGCCCGGCCGATAGATAGTGTGCACATATAACTACTTAATACAATCGTATGATGAAAGTGGATTCGATTTCGGGGGCCATTGGCTCCATAGCTATTTCCCCAACCGGGTGAAATCGCTAAAACTAATTAACTAGCTAAACAGCTTTTTCTTGTTTGGCTGGGCCCCCCGTAGGTAGTACGTCCTTCTTCGTCCTGCCTGCCCGCTTCTACACGGACGTAGCGGTGGGTATTCCAAATATGAACTCGCATCTGCATTTGCACTTTGGATCGGTTCCCGTGAGAGAGAGAAGAAAAGGCACCGGTCTGCCTGCTCCAAGAGGTACCATACAATACCATAGCGATAGATAGGTGGTTAGGCCCGATAAACGTAGCCTACTCCTAGGTACCGGTAGCTCTTGACTGGTAGAGTGTATCTCCCGGCATCATGGTGGGTCCCTGGATGCAGCCCTGTTGGGCAACTCTTCACTTTTCAAAGATCCTTACCAGGCCCATGGCCAGCAGCAGCTACCGTTCCATGATCATTAAGTCCAACGGCCTGCTCTGCGAAGAACATCCAATTGCATCAACTACTAATCAGGCAACCCACTGCAATCTCGCTGCGCTGGAAGCTTTCGAGAAGTCGGTAGGGTAGGGTAGAGTGCCTAGGTATGTACCTGTACCTTGAATGTCCAG